AGAGGTGCTTATTTGTTTGCATTTTAATGTGTCACGACTGCTAAAACTTCCATGTCATTTTAACAAATTTGCCTATCCTAAGTGATGAGAGTGGGCTGTGGAGAGATGTATAAACTCTCATTTAGGAGGTGGCATATTTGTTCTGGCAACTGGAGGGGATCAAAGCTCAGTGATAATGGCCAAAGGTTCAAGCACATGTCTCTGATTAGATTTAACCACTAAAACATAGAACTGATTCTCTTTTGTAGTTCCTACTGAGTAAACCTATTGCAAGTCTGTTTCTCTCTCACAGCTGGTAATTCAAAATGTAGAGATGGAACTTGAAAGTGTCTGAGGGACTTTAGTCTTTTCTCTCCAGCCAACAAACTGGCCCAGTTTCTTGCAGATTCCTCAGTTCCTATGGCTTCTCCCAGCAATCAGACAGAAGGCATGGTGCTGTGCTATGAAAAGGTAAAATCTGGGTTGTGTAAAATGCTTCACTACCAAAACCAGTCATCTGAAATGTAATCAATTGCTGTTCCTGGATTTCCAGCACCATCTGTATTCTGTATTAATGGAAGTTGGTGGACAGTGATGATATGCTCCAGTACAAGTCACCTCTCAGTCCTTTGCAGGGAGATTTTTAGGAGGAGAAATAATGTTATTTGGGCAGGCAAGAGTGTTTTGTTTGGTTTGTGGTGGGAGCTGTGTGCTTAACTTGTCTCAGTTTAGAGTGCTCCGACCCTTTGCAGGTGCCAGCCAGGCAGCAAACACCCAGGCAGCAAGTGTGATCATTACATTTACCTCACCTCAGCATGTCCTGCTGCTCCTCAGGTGTTTGGAGATCAGCTGAGACAATTCTTGCTCACACCATGCTGTGGGACTTGCTACTGAACTGACCCTTTGGTGTGCAAGGGACAGCCCAGCTGGGGCCAGGGCTGTTAGGGTGTCTGTCTTACCTATGGTTTATGTCATGGCCCCTTCCTTTGTTTTCAAGCTGAAAAAGAACTTCCCAATCACTTTCAAAGATGTGAGAACAGAGAGAGTTTTGAGAAAATTTGATTGAAGCTCCACTTCTCTCCTTTGCAGAATTGCATGAGGAATTCTGAGTGAGCTGTGCTGTACCTAATGCCTCCAGGTATCAGTGGTAAGTCCCACAGCTCCTTTTAGCTTGTGATTTACAAAGAGAAGGCCACAGTGTGATTTGGTGTCGTTCTGCACATGCTGTGGTTTACATAAAGGGTGCAGCCCTTTCTATGTTGAATGTACATGCCCAAATGTGCACACAAAAAATGCTGAGTGCTCCCCTCCAGGGTAATGCCTAATGTCATACAGACCCCAAATTCAAGGAAAAGCATACAAAAAAAGTAGCTTAAACTATTGTTATATGAGTGTGAACTTTATTACTTATCAATACCTGTCCAGAGCATAGAACACAGGAAAATGGAGACACGAAATATGAAGACAGTACATAGTAGCTAAAAAAGCAATGCAGGACAGTGGAAAATAATATCTGTTATTTCTTTCATTTTCTTTTTCTCACGATTTTTAAATTACAAATGCCCATGAGCATCCAAAAGCTGATCAAAATGCAACTCATGAAAGCCTCCCATTTATATGCCAAGCAGGCACTCCCCAGGTGGGCAGCTCTAATGTGATTGCCCTGAGGTGGAAGGGCCACCCACGATGTGGAAAGAGTAATTTCCCAATTTCCCTCTATGCCAGCTCAGTCAGAGCCCTCTGCTCAGGCTGCCAGCACAGGTGGCAGTGGTGCCAGCTGGGATTCAGTGGCACAGCAGGGCACTCCCTCCCTCAGCTGTGACCAGGCAATGCTCCTGGTGGCAGTGCTGTGCTGTGGGAGGGGCTGCGCTCTTGGGGAAGTTTAGGTGCTGTTTTATGTTGGCATCTGCTGCCAGTTCTAGTCTGGCCAACATTTTAAGCTGCGCTTTGGCCTGGGCTCAAGAGCAGCTGTCTTTGTGGGACCCACAATTCCCCCATTCAGGGTTGTGTAAACAAAAAAAGTGCAGCTCTTGGTGGTGGTGAAAGCTCCTTTCTTGTCATCCATATTTAATGGAGGAGTATTACTAGTCTTAGGCTTAAGTTTTAGGGCTAAAAATAGTGAACATAGTGGGGCCCAGGATTTTCCAAGATGCTCAAAGAGATGAGAGTTAACAGGGTAGGAGCTGGCCTTGCATGTGGCTGGTTTTGTGTCTGGCCCCTGTCCCAGCCATGATCTGGTTTAATGTTGGGAAGTAGCTTTGTGTTGGGGGAAGAAAAGCATCCATGGCTCAGGGCATCCCAGGGGCTTCTCAGTGCACAATCCAGCAGCTCTACAACCATGCAGGTGTACACCCCAGTACACCCCAGCTGTGCTCAGAGGCAAGAAGTCTGAAAAATATCCACTGCATCACTGCAGCATCCTTCAACATTTAAACTTCTATTGTATAAAAATTCAGGTTGTCTAACAAGCTCCAGTAAATATTGCTAATCCGTCACCCAAAATTCTGTTCTGAAGATATTGGAATATTTTTTGGATGTTTTTTGTACTGAATAGTAAACAAAACACTGGGAAACCAGTTGGTCCAGATCAGGTGGGTATATTTCATTTTTCTTCTATGTTTCTTGTGACTTGATATGCTAAAGATGTACGAAATAGCAAGTTTCTTTTACATAGAAAGAGGGACCCTACCATTCCCAAAAATATTGAGACAGAAGGTACTGGTTTCCTGAAACCCCTTCCTGCCCCTTTTCTTCCAAAGGAGAAAAGTCATCAAAATAAGCCTGGATCCATGAGCTGTGTTGGTTTTGATCAAAGTATGTTTTCTGACAGAAGAAACAACTCTATTGAATGTTGCTGTGTTAGGTATGGCTCTGACTGTGCATAGACACACATTAGCTAGGTTTCCAAACTGTAAGGGGATTAAGAGCTCAAACTCATTGAAATTCAGGAGGGAGGCATTTTGCTTCCTTGGAGATGCAGGCCCTAGAGATTCAGATCCCCAGGGGATGAAACCAGGGGAACAGACAGCTATTAACTTTGACAAGAGCTCTCCATCACTTGTTCTAGGAGAATTCTCTGTAGAAAAAAAAACATGTTGTTAGCTCTGGGTTGAGGAGGCAAATGAGAAGACATTTAGGTGCTATTTATATTTTTTTTTTGGGCACCATGCAGATCTATTTCTGTGATTTTGTCAGTGGTTTAATACTATTTTTGACAGAGGTAGGATGATTAAATCTACAACAGGGACTAAATTTATATCCATCTTCTATATGTGTATCTGCTCCCACACAGTTTTCAGCTTTGGATCACCATATCCTGAATTTAAATGCACTAAAAATACATTTGTTTTTCATAGTTGCTTGCTGCAGGTTTCTCTGAGCTTTACAGGCTACTGCTGCAGTCACAGATTGGTTCAACATGGAGCTTTTGTAAATAGTTCTCTACAAATATAATCATACAGAGCCAGAACAAAGGCCTGATCCCATAGGAGATGGTCAGAAAGAGATCAAGATGTCAAAGAGACTTTCCCTGGTTAAACTTCTGAGCTTCTGGCAGGTGATAATGTAGTGCTGTACTGAGCCAGGGTTTGCATCTGTGTCATCACATTTGTTAGTCATCAGTGAACCCAGTCTTCATTAATTTGTCTCATCCATTTGCAGCCTTCTTTTGCTCCCTGTACCATTTTCTGGTAAATTCCATTGTGGGTGATGAGTTTTGTTAATATCGGCCCAAGAGTTTTGCTTTTCTCCTTTGGAGAGCCTTGCAGCTGACCTGTCCTGCAGGCAGAGGTGTCCTGCCAGCAGCACTGTGGTTCCCAGGGGCTCTGCAGGTGCCCACAAGCCCTGTCCACAGCACGGGAGCAGCACAGCCCTGCAGCAAAGGCCTCTCCCATGGCCCCCTCCAGCATTTGCAGCTGCCCAGCTTGTCCCTCCCTGGCTGAGGGATGAAAGCTGTCCCTGGAGCCCTGCCCCTCTTCAGGCCAGGGCTGGGAGGGGAGGCTCTGCCTGTGGGCTCATGTCTGGGGAACAATCCCCTGCTCCCTTCTGCAGCTTAGCAAACAATGATAAAAGATGTGTGTGACTGAGGGAGCCAAAGCTTCCTCTGCTGCCCTGTGTGAAGCTGCTTCCTGGCTCTGCACCTGCTTGCAGTGCTTGCACTGCATGTGCCCACCTCACCTGTGCCATGCAGGCACCCAGCATGTGCAGCCTCTGCCTTTCTTTAAAGCACTGGGATGGGGAACTCTGATCAATTCCTTGGACACATCCTTCACTCTGACTCTTAATTAACCCAGAAAACTCCATTAACACATCCTTAAAGAGCAAGTGCTTTGCTGCAGGTCAGGTTTAAACAGCTCAGCTCCAATGTAAACATCTCAGTGCTTGGCAGCCAGGTGCTGCAGGATCACAGTCACAGAATCATCTGAGCTGAAGGGACCACAAGGGTGAGTCCCATACTGTCACTGATGGAGCTCCTTTCCAGCAGGTTTATCTGTGAGCATCCTCAGTGCGGCTGATTTTTAACCATATAGTGTATTGGCATATATTTTTTTTAATTAATGAAAACACCTTATATGTGTCAAACCAAGCAATTTAAAAAAGCTATTCTGTAAACTTTTTCAATGTGTTGATGGTTAAACACGCTTCTTAGTGTGTTGAAATTTTCTACTGAAAGTAAAAGATGCTTTCAGCAATTCATGCTGTTTAAGAATTAAATGATCAGGCCAACTCATAAAAAGAACATTCTGCATTTGTAATATGCAATGTTGTGTATTTTTTTTGCTATCATAAGTGCTTTCTTTTAAATTGTAACAATCATTGCTATTCTTTTTGCTAATACTAGATTTTCCTCTTTTGTAGTTTCTCAAGATTACCGGAGCTAAAATGAAAATAAACTTCTTTTAACTCTTAGATAACTGTCTTAGAGAATTATAATTCGGAAAGAAAACAAATTTCTACTTTACCTTCTCCCTGACTTGTGTGTTTGTGCAGCACAAATACAGTACCAAAAGCAAAACATGAGAGTTACACTGATTCCTCCAAATGTTGTCTCAGAGATGAGTCCCACAGCTCCCTGCAAAGTAATTGGTCTAATTAGGTGGTAGGAAGGAGCTTCTTTAAATTCCTCAGAAATTAAGACGTGTCATCCGCTTAACATCTTAGCATCTGTTACTGCCTCTTCCACATTTCTCTGCTACATCAACCTGAAGGGCACTTTCCTGGATGTTTCAGAGAGATAAAAAAAATTAAAATAAATAAAACCAACAAAACCCAAGCCCTTATAGCACAGAAGAAGTTAGCTCTTTCTTCAGTGGGATGAAGCATGTAAGGCATTTCATCCCCTCCTTATTTCTCAGTTTGGTGCATGTTTGCCTGGGTGAGTACAATAATCACTTTGTTAAGTAAAAATATAGAGAAAACAAGCATAACCTTAAATCCTGTAGTTATCCTTACTGATGTGGTAATGTTGTTCTGAAATATTTTCCATGGCAACTGGTCCTTGTGCAAATGTTACCCTCTGTGTTTATATACTTGCAGTTTGTTTCAATTGGGCTATTTTGAATCTCTTAACAGTCAGTCAATAGAATGACAACTAATTTGCTGTTTTTTGTTTTGTTTTTTTTTTAAACTTTGCTGTTGTCTGGCAGCAAGTAAGTATTTAATTATGGCTAATTGCTCATGTAATAGGCATAATTTTAAGGCAGGATGTGCTTAGAACACTGGGTAAGAATATTGGGTAAGGTACTGAGGCACTGGGAAAGTTTCAGGCTTGTATGTGTGGAGTAGAGGAGAGATGTTCCATCATTGCAAGCTGGAAAAGTTCATTTTTCATTGAAGCTGACTGGAACTGGTTGAGTTTTTTTAAGAGAGATGCTGCTATTTGTTTCTGTTGGTTGGGAGGTTTTTTATATACTCTCTCTATTTCCTGCTGTGTAAATACTGGCACAGTGGCATGTAGAAGTAATTTTATTAAAAATATCTCTACAGATACAGTTCTGAAAGTCCATTGCAGCAACTGGGTGTGTTATGCACTCCTAGTATTCCCTGAACAGCTCCTGTTTACTGAGAGTCAGGTAACTGAGACAGCCAAATAACTGTCACCTACAAAATGCTTTTGTTTGGCTTCTGTTTTGTTTTAATTGCAGTTCAGGCAAATTATGCCCCCTATTTCTTTGATAATGGAGCCAGAAGCACAAATGGGAACATGGCACTTCTCAGCCTTTCGGAGGACACGCCTGTTGGTCAGTATTAAAATTTGTATGTTTAAACTGTGAAAGTGGAAATGCTTGCTCTTATGATTATATATATTTTCTTGTAGGTTGTTGTTATTTGCTGTGATCTTACATGTTTTTTTCTCAAGCTTTTAATTGGCCTCAATTTAAAATGACATGTTTGATTTGTAGCTGTAATTTAAAACATGAATTCTAGCTCCCTCTTTTTTTTCTGCCAATCTATTCACAGCTTCAGAGCTCAGACCTTTGGGGTCAGAAATAAATTCTTGGTGGGAGGCTTCTCACCAATTCTATAAATGCTTATAGGAAAAAAAATTACTAGAAATTAGGCTATCAACCTTGATAAAAGCAAGCTGTACATTGAAAAATGAAGGGGCATGATTTTTTTCTAAACACATTTTTAATATTTACGTACAAATGGTAGAAAATGTTTTCACTTGCAGTGAAAATTGTTTTGTCTAAATAACTGATGTTTTTTAAAAAGGTTTTGTTTTGTTTTATTGAAAATTCAAAAATTGATGCAGTGTACAGATTTCAGCACTCTGAGGCAGGTCTATTTATGCTTCTTTTAACTGCAGTTGGACTATGAAAAGTTAAATAAGAACAAAAAGTAACTTATAATCAATATTTTCTGTGGGGGAAAAATAATCTCCTAAGACCTAAGCAATTACATTAAAATATATATTAAGTGATAAACATCACCTTTACTTCAAACTTTGCACTGAGATTTTATTTAGGATTTTCTTCTGTTCATCTGTAGCTTTCACAGGCTGAATCGGAAAAATATTTAGTTAATGCAAACTGGGTATACTGAAGCACCCCTTTACTCGTGCCTCATGCAGAGAGGAGAGATGTGGCTGCTCAGGGGTGCAGCCAAACGCCCCCTTCCAGGGCTCAGGCAGCTGGGCAAGGCCAGGATGAGGGAGGCATCAGAGGGCACAGCCTGCCCTGCCAGCCTGACACTGCCACCCACGCCTTCTTACAGCACACCAAGGTCACTCTGTGCTGGAGGCAGCTGCCTGGGTTTGCTCAAAGTCTCCATTTCTGACTCAGGGGTGTTAATGTCATCCAAGACCCACACTGGGCCTGCTATAGGGTGAGGAGGGGGGTATTTGGAAGCAGCAAGTTCTCCTTTACCTGCTCAGCTTGAGAAGAGGAGGGGGAGATGGCAGCACAGAGTGTAGAAGTGACACATGACAATGAACTTAAAAGGAGCTTGCTTATGATGCAGCAGGAATTTGCTATGAGCTTGGCCAAGCTTAAGTGGAAACCCCAGCTTGAAGGCCACCAGTACTTTTTTTAATGTAGTGGCACTTGGAAAAGCCAGAGGCAGACCAAGGAGCTGCAATGTTTGCTGTACTTCTGCCTGGATTCTCATGGAAACCACACTTAGTTCAGCCTTGGCAATCCCTACAGTTCTGCTGCTAGCTGGAGTTAGATTGGAATCACTTGTCCAAGTGTAGATAAGGCTGTAATCCCAGACAGCCACAAAATGGGACCCCAGCTCAGTTTGTTTGGGGTGGTGCTTGCCAGCTCTGCCACTGAAACCTCAGGCAGCACAACCCATTTGCCATCCAAGCCCCACTCCCTGGTGTGGTGCCAGCCTCTGCCTGCCACCACTGGGAGCCTCCAGGCACCTGCGTGGGGATGAGGAGATAAAGATGGCACAGAGCCACACAATGAGCAAAAATGTCCCTCCTGTCAGAACTGCAGCACCACATGGTCTCTCAGATGATAGCACTCCCTGCAGCAGTGAAGTACAACAGTAATTTCCACTGCATCTGATCTGGTGCTCCAGCAGCCAAAAAAAGGACAGTGTGCCTCAACAAACAGCAAAACAGCAGTGTGAGGGATCAGAGCCTGTGTTAGTGCTCTCCTAATTAGCCTGAGTAAGAATAATGAGATATTTGTGATGGGCTTCTGTATGTGCTTTTGTAACATTAGCAACCAGACTAGGAACATGGAGGTCTCTGGAGAGTTTGTGCTTTGCTTGCAGCAGTGATAAAGCTCAGGCTGTTCTTTCTTGAGAGCTGCTGTGCTTCCTGCCTGCTAGCTTCATCCAGAATGTGCTTACATGTGTTTAAATTGGCTGGCTTGTACTTCTAATTTGATGTGTAAATGTGCTTTAAAAGACAAGAGAGAAACAACTTCTCTCTGAAAGCTTCAAAAGACCTGTAGGAACCCTTGGGAAAGAGAGATAAGACCTTACTTTTGGGAAGACCAAATGTGATTGCTTTGTCACACAGCTTCCAGTGCTTCTTTGGGCTAATTCCCAGAACGCCTTGACAAACAGCTCCAAGTACTGCAAGGTCGTCTCTTCTGAAAGCACTTTCAGAAGTTCCTTTGGAACATGGTTGCTTGGGATTTGCTTAATGCAAACTGCTGCTGCCCATGTCAGCATAGCCACTCCTCAGGGAGCCTTTGGCAGAGACAGTCACAGGGAAGGGCACAAACAGCACTGACACTGCAGTGTTGGGTGTGCTTTCAGCTTTGTACAGGGCAAGAGGACCAGTGTTCAATCAGACCACAGCCAGGTCTTTGTGCCAGAGCTCCCTGCTGAATGGCTACCAGGCTGGCCCTTTTCTGTGGCACTGCAGAGGAGAATATTGTTCTTCATCACCAGCTATGATCTCCTCCAGAAGCAGGAGAAAGCATCTGGTCTCCCATGTCCATGTGCAGTCCCAAGCATCCACACTCCCACAGTCATCTCTCAGGTTGAGCAGGAAGATCAGTGACAAAACAGGGGAACTAAAACTTCCATATGTTTGATTCTGGATGACTTCACTCAGATTTATGTGCTGCAAAAATTGACAGGTTGCAGTTAGATATCCCCTGTCCTTACATAAAGCTTGGAGTCATGGACAGGATGCTTTTCTTGTCTGTGCAGTGCCGCAGACAGCAGCTTTAATAAACCTCCAGAAATTTTACAGTCTTTGACCCTGCTGAGATTGCAAGTGGTTGGCAAAGTATTATGTGTTAGTTTTATTCCCAGGCATCTGTAGGCAAGGGACATGGAACATTTGGGAACACTGAAAGGACATGATGGAGTCTGTGTGGCTGTAGAAAGAGACATTGCAGCTCTGCAGCTGTGTGTGAACACATCAAACTCATTATCATTCTTGTCTCATCCTTAACTTTACCTTCTTTTCCCTTGTCCAGTTTTGATTATTTACACATGGTTGTAACTTGTGTACCAAGCTATCATAAAAACAGCAAGTACTATTTCTACATGAGTGTTTGAAAAGTACCTGCAGATTCCCAGATCCTATTTATTGCTGCAGGGCTTGAGAGCCCTCAGGGTAAGAGAGGCCAGAACAGCAGCAGCCCCTTTCAGTGCCAGATTTAAGAATAGGAGGAGTTATGAACTGAAATAGCAGTTGGTGTTTGTGGTTTGGTGGGGCAGGTGGGTAATTAGCTCTTTGCATGTGTACATACAAAATGTGCATGTGCTCCTAATCAAGGTCTTAGGGCAGGAGTGGGATGCTATTTCAGGTTGTTTGTTTCATCTTACCTCATAATCCCTGTAAGCCTCATGGTGGGGACAGAGTGGGGCTGGGAACAGCTGCCGAGCAGGGGATTGAAGCATACTCAGAAGGCCTAAGTTCATTATCTCTCAGAGCCCAACCATCATCAGTGCTCTGTAGATCTCTGCATGATCTCCTTGCATTTCCCTTTCTGTTTTTTCCCTTGCCCCCAAAAAGGCACTTTTCCCATTAAAAGCCAGTTTGCAGTGGCAGTTCTTTGATTAAAGCTACAGCTGCCACCTACTCACCATGGGGTGACTGATCCCTTCAGATCCCTCCATCCTTCAAGCTTGCCCTGTTCCTACATGCTGTTTTCTTCCTTTCTTCCCATCATTCACAGCTGACTGAGGAGAGCCTTCTTGTCCCCTGTGGTCCCTGTCATTCTTCCCTTGTTTCTGTCACCCTGCTCCACCCCTAGGCAAGCTGGGAGCTGCCAGAACAGCAGTGTAAGCACGGCCTGCCTTCTGCACCCCTGCAGCAGTGCCAGCATGCACAGAGCAAAGCCCCCTGCAGAGCTGAGCACTGCACAGAGATGCTCTGAGCACTCACAGGTGTTACAGCCTTCAATTTCGTTTAGATTCTTCTGACAGAAACTGCAGATACATCAGAAAATTACACTCAGATGGTTTTTCCTTGGAGTTGGTTGCCATGGGTGCTGCAGAGACATTGCTGCTGTCCATGGGGTGATGGTCCAGGCCCCATGCTGACCCCTTGCTGCCATATCCCATCTCCCCAGGACAGGCACTGGCAGCTGCAGAGTGTGTTTTGGCTGCTGTTGATGCTGCCATGTCTCTTCTTTGGCATCAGGCTGCAGAGAGGGAGCAGGAATCCCGAAAGGAGCAGTAGCAGGTGGTGAATGGGGAAGGGGCTTTGGGGTAGGCATGGTGTGTGTCCATGGCCTCCAGGAGCCTGTGCTTGGGGTGAGCTTGGTGTGAAAACAGCCCTCTGTACCTTTAACTGTCCATCTTCTCTTCTGCTGGGGAAGTGAGACAGGTGGAGAGCAGACATGTGACCCCAGGCAAGGTGGTGTTTGCTGTGACATTAGGAACAGGGGTATGCTGTCCTGGGAGCATGGCCATGCATGTCCCTCTCAGCATCTTCTTAACAGTTGTCAGCTGTGCTGGCAAAGGACAGTGGCAGGACTGAGCATGAATCCAAAATATGCTTGGCTTCTTGTTTAACTGACAGGGAAGGAATCTGATTGCTGGGTGTTGCACAGCAGAGAGGGAGAGTGTGTCTTCAGTGAGAAACCAAAACCAGTTCCAGAGCCCAGGGCAGAAACTGTGATTAAATTTGAGTCAAAAATGAATTAAAATGGAGCAATGACATCATGAGACAGCCATTCAGCCCAAGTGGCAGAGCTGAGAGCAAATGACTTTTAAGCTGGAATAGGAAAAACAGAGTGGAAAGGCCTGGCATGGCTCATGGGAGGAAGCCACAGCAGGAAGCAGCAATAGCACCCCAGGACTCCCCTGTCCCAGCCTGCTGCACCATCCCCTGGGCACTCAGAATATCCAGCTCTTCTAACTGTGGCATTTGCCATATCCTCAAGTAAAGATCTTCTATTCCCATATTTTTATGGCAGGGAGAGGATATTTACTTGGTATCCTCTGGTAAGATTTTATCTGTCTTCTTCATTTATTTCCTTTTCAGCAAGTAGAGGCAGCACACTGAGAACAGATTTTTAATTGGCATTAACACTGTGGTGAGAAGTGTTCCTGGGGGTGTTAATGATATGGAGGGTACTGTGCAGTGAAATTACAATTTGGAAAAAATAAGGAATTATAATGAGTTAGAAAATAAATTTTGATCCACAATCTAATTTAAAAGGCATGCAAGTATTTTGTGTTATGAAAAATGAAGTATCAGCTTTAGCTAAAAAGCAAAGACTCCAGTGTAAAAATCAATGAAGTCCGTCATTACTTGCTCAGAAAGCTCAGTAATCTCAGTCTGTACCAATATCAATGTTTCTACTCATTTAGCAGCAAGAAAGTTCCTGTCTTCCTTATAAGAAAATTCTAAGAAAAGTAGGAAAGGAAACTGTGAGATTTAAAGAACCTGCCTAGGTTTAAATGGGTTCACATAAACTTTCAGTCTGTTGTTCTCCAGCCCTGTGCCCCCAGAGGAGTGGTTTGCATTTGAGTGCTGCTGGTATTGGCATTTCAGGGCAGCCACAGCAGAGACCTGCTGCCTGGTGTGCCTGGTGGCTGCTCTCAGCTCCCAGAGAGCCCAGATGTGGTGTCCATCCTGCTTCTCCATGGCGCACTGAGCACTGCTCAGCAGCTGCTGTGCACATCCACAGGCAGGACAGCCAGCACTGTGTCAAGTGCAAGGGACAGGAAAAGGTGGCAAGAAGGGCAGAAAACAACTGAGAAATAGAGACAACTAATGACCAAAAAAAAGGCTGCAGAAAAGCACTATATTTATAAGGATATCAGTGAGATGATGGCAATTGACACCTTAAATCTTCAATTGGACCCAGCTGTGATATTAAGACAAAGCTTTTAAGAAACAAGAATAAATAATTCCCTGCTGGTGCTGCAGAACCCTCCAGTTTTCAAATTTCTCTGTCTTATATAGATAGTTGAATCAGGAAGCAGGTGTCCTTTCAGGATACTATTTTATATCAGTCCCAGTTAGTTCCTCTCCTTTCATTTGTGTTTAGAGAGTTGTTACAGTCAGAAGTGTCCCATCATACCACTCATTGACTTTTCCTAATAATTTTCAGTGATCACAGCTACAGATGTTTTGTTATTTTCCGTTCTGTTTTGTAGGAAAAGTACAAGAAAAATGTGGAAAAGTGTTTTGTAGTTTTGTGAACTGTTTTGCAAGTCTTGGTTATTTGTTGTCTGGCTGACCCAGCTCATAACAGGATCTCTTGTCAGTGCTCTTGTGGGTGCATTGGTTTTTGCAATGTAACATTTTTCTGTACAAAGGTGCCCAAATGTTGCTCTGATCATTATCACATGAGAATTTACTCCTAAGTGAGCACAGATTCCACATGGTTTAGTATAATCTCTTGCTATGACAAGAAGACAGCCATGCTTTGCAAATATCACCACTGATGGCTGGATGTCCCATGGACACTAAGGCCCCTGAGCAGCTTCAAGTTTGAATGCCAAGAAAGAAGCAAATGAGGTCCAAAAGGCTGCCTTGCAAAACTGAGGAAACCTTTGAGAAACTGACCTGTCCGTGGTGTGGGCAGACTCTAGAGCTAAGCCCAAACTCACAGATCTGGTCAGTGATCTATGAAGAGAGGAGAGGAGAAAAAATTATCATTTTTGAGTATTGAATTAAACATCTGTCAAACTCAGGGCCAGAGTAGTTCAAAACTGAGCCTTAGTGTTCTTCTTTTACTTTATGCTGACTTTCTTAGCAGGGTTCCTTCCATCCTGTGTTTGAGTTGCATGCATGAGCAAAACTCACCAGTAACCAGTGAGTCACCTGCTGCAGTATTTCCAGTGCAGAGGGCTTTGTTGGATGTAAAGCAGTTTCTGTGCTTAACCTCTCCAACCTGAATATCTCAGGTAACTTAGCCAAGGCACAGCAGAGAGGAAGGAAACAACAACAGTGGTTTATATTTCAGGTTCAGTTAACTGGTGTTTGTAAACTGCTTGAAGTTATTTGGATGAAGGTGTTAAAGCATAGTAGAATGACAGATATGTAAGTTTAAAAAATAATGCTAATAAACACTCTCACCATGCTTTGAAAATATGGGTGTTATGACTCCCCCAGGAATAATCATTTATAATACACAAGTCAGTTTGGTGGAAAAACTGGCACCAACTTCTCAATGTATAAAAAAGGCAATAACTATCTTTCTCCAGCTTCTGAAGGAAATACATTGATGAATTTGAAAAAATTAATTATTGGTATGAGCATGAGTGGGTGTGTCAAGTAAAGAATTTAATGAGAGAGAGCTATGGAGTGGGAGTGAAACAGGAAAAATACTTTTGCATTGATTAATTCTGAAAGTGGGAAAGTATGAAATGTCCTTGCACCTGCCAAGTTCCAGTATTGACCTGGGTGCAGCTCCACAGGAAAGGGCCTAAAGTGACAGAAACCGTCACTAATGAACTCAATTTAACCAGCTGGTTAAAAAGTTGCCATCAGGACTATTGAACTGTCTGCTTATCCATACTTCCCAGTAAGTGGGCTTGACTGACAAAACCTTTTCCTGCTGCAGGGTAGCCAGGTTCCTAAGGAACAGACCAGAGAAACACTCCCTGATTGAAATAACCACAGGGAAATGTTGTTGAATCTCAATTTTTCAGGCACCCACGTGTACACTCTGAATGGAACTGACCCAGAAGGAGATCCTGTGACATATGGCCTGACCTATGAAGCTGGATCAAGGCGTTACTTTGCTGTTGACAAGAATCTTGGAAATGTTACTTTGATTGAAGAGCTTGACAGAGAGGTACAATCAAATGGCACCACTCCAGGTGTTTGTGGGATTTCTTTCAGTTTAATTTGATCTGAGACTTTGAGGGACAAGGCCAGTTTATTAGACCCTGAAGCATGTACTTTGCAATTCTAAGACATTATATGCAACCCATCATCTTGCATTCCAGTTGACTTGTGCCACTGACATTGCGATCAAATTTTTCAGCTGCTGTCTGTCTAGCTTTTTTCAAAAGAGAAGTGTATTCTTTAATTCTTATCTTCCCCCACCCACACCCCATCAGGAGCTTAGGGGCAGCTACAGTCATCAAATCCTCAGACAGGGGACTCTCCTGTCATTGGGAAGAAGTAGAGATTTGTGTAAGCAGTGTTTCAGGACACTCCTCTAGTACATCACAGCCCTTAGCCAATGTAACTATGTTAGTTAAAGATGCCTAAAGCCAGCCTTATTCTGGGAGTAAGGCATTGAACCCTTCATATCTCCTCATTGAGAAGCTTACACAATATTTGGTGTAAACCCTTTAAAAATCTGTACGCTAATACAGAACAATTTTAACCAAAGTGCCATTTTAGGGAACATTTCTTGAGAAAGGTGACTGATTTTTATGAGCACTTTAGGAAGCAACAGGGATTACCAGAACAACCATCTCCTGACAGTAGCCAGAAGAGGTTCAGGGAGCTGGAGCTTCTGAGGAGTCTTCCTGGCCTCTGCTGGGATTGCTCTGTGATATTAGTTGCTACTTTCATCTGCCTGCCTAGACAGGTTTAAATCTGCAGTCCCTTTTCCAATCAGGACAAACACCATCCCTCTTACAAAAGAATTTTCTTCATTTACAGAAGGAAGATGAGATTGAAGTTATTGTCAGTATTTCAGATGGCCTGAGTACAGTAAGTATTTAATTATGCTGTAGCTTGTTAAACTAACTGTCGTCACATACCTACTCCTATTAAATTACCTTAAAGGGACCATCTCATTTGATCAGAAAACACAATCTCATTAGAGCCTTACCTCCTGTTCCAAGAGCCACTGAACTCACAGTTACTCAAGTCTCACTTCATCTCCTTGCTCAGCTATTTGAGGGTAATTACAATGAAGTGTGAGCTGAAATACTGACTTAGCAGCCTGCAGAATTACAGCAGCTTCCCATGAAGTTTCACTGCCAGCACAGTCGGATTTGTGCCTAAGATCTGGAGGCTTTTTGGAGAAATGTGTGACATTATAGGAACTAGTGTTGGGTGCCCAAGAGCTGCCTGTCCCCACCCCCACAGTGTTTCTCTAGCATGATGTTAAGAAGATTTGCTTAGGCTAAGGTGGTGGGGTCTGCTGCTAGATAAAGCTTTGTGCATGTCTAATCATTAAGGACTTATCTGAGGCACTGAACCTCCAGCCCTATTTCCAAGGATTTTCTTGGCATTTTCAAATTTATGGACTGATGCTCTCAGGGCCAGGATGGCAGTCTGCCAGTAGGAGGATGTGGGCTTCATCACTAGAGGTTCCATAAAAGTGGGATCCTCTTCTTATCTACAAGACTGGATAAATCTAGAGCTTTTCCTCATCCCAAAGAAATTAATTGAGATTATTACAAGAAATGTTTGGGATGTTCCAGCCTCCTACAGGCACAACTGCCCTGGAAATCTCTGTAAAAGGGAAATAATGGGATTCATAAATTATGGGAGTCATAATATGCTCTTCATACTCTACTCCAGGTTTCTGAAAAAGTAAGGATCCTTGTAATGGATGCCAATGATGAGAGCCCAGAGTTCATCAATACACCTTACATAGTCCAAGTCCCAGAGGTTGGTGAAGTTCCTTTGCATACTGGAAATATACTTCTAGAGGATGTAAACAGGGGCTAATATGTTTTCAGTAAAATAACAAATTGTGCAGAACAGACTTGCATTCTTTTTATTTAGGGTTTGGGTAGATATTTAATATTCACTACAAACTTGGGGGATAAGTCTATAGGTTCTTAAGGTGTGCTATTTTGGGGGTAAGTTCCAAGGTGCGAGTCAATGTGAGTCTTTTAGAATTGAATACAGTGGGAACGGGATACACCCAGTCTTAGCTAAAATGTTCTGTTATTTTTATTTCACAAAGTATTTCTTCTTGTTTTCCAGTTTTAATCTCTTCCCTCTTTCCCTTCTGCTCTTTGGTTCCTTCAGTGCTTTTACATTCTTTCTACTATCACTCTTTCTGCCTCCCTGCATGCTCATGTTTCATTTCTTTTACCTCTCCTCGTTTTCTGTTTCTGTGTGACTCTGCTAACTCTTTCTGGTCACAGAACACTCCCTCCAGCAGCAGCATCTTTAAGATTGAGGCAATAGACAAAGACACAGGTTCTGGAGGAAGCATCACCTACTTCTTGCAGGTAAAGTATTGTCTGTACCGTCACAAATTTGTCTCTCATTTACTGAGATTTCAGAAAGCAGATTTTAAAAAGATTTTGGGGGTTGAGTGCACTGCTAGTGCCTCTAGGATCAATGTTGTACCATGCACAAGGAAATGAGCATTGGCAGAAAGGATGTTGTCTGATTGCAAGCAGCCAAGGGTGATCCAGCAGGCAGCAAGGGGAGCTGGAGTTGCCACTGACACTCCTGTGCTTGCCAGCCCTCATGGCAGGGCCCTTACTGGCCCTTCCTTTGGAGTGACAGGGAGAGCAAGATTAGCTGGTAATCGTGTATGCTTATGGGATTTCTAAAGCATGAAATAGCTTTTTTTAGGAAGCAAAACACACTGGAAACATAAATGTGCCCTTTAGTGTAGCAGGCTGCTGCATAATTGATACCAAGATCACAGTGTGAAATGAGAGGTACTAAATCTTCTCCCTGACAAAGCAGTGACTGCCTGAAACCACCCTTTCAGTTGCTGCCCACTGGTGAAGAACTGAATGGGCTCCAGATTTAGACCTGAAATTCTGTATTACAGATTTTCTGTATTCCACAAGGGCAATTTTTTGCATTATGTCTTTCAAATTCTTTCTTCCTATAGGCAGTTTCATCCAGGTTATCTGCAGTTCCCTTTATTCAAGAGGAAACATGAAAAAAGCAAACAAAAAACAAAGCAAATGTGTTGCAATATTTAATTTTGGATAAGAATATGAAGACAAGTTAGAGGATATTTACATAGCACTAAAGCTAATCCTGTTAAGAGCTTGGACATACTATGAAAGAACACCTTGAGTGCCTTGTTGAAATTTAGCTTTGATTTCACAAATTATGATCCATGCACAGGATTCAATTTTGCACAGGGCTATTTCCAGAGAGCTGATAGTCTATGAACCAAGGGACAGCAACTCCAGAATTCTATATCTAGTTTGTAATATATTTGTGTGGAAAAAAGGATAATAAATATGTATATTTGTTGAAAAAGGCTTGCCATGTCTTTGGGCATAGTCTCTGAGAATTCTCAAGTTGCACAGAAAAAACCTCTCCATAGGTATGATAAAGGCAGGTGGTGATGTCTGCTGAAATGGCCAGGATTATCTGACAGTGGCCATTGTGTCTGGATACAGGGACAGAGGTGCTTGTACAGCTATCTCCAGTTCAGAAGAATGGAGGGAGGCATTTTTTAAGTCTCTTTTAAAATCAGATGTCCTTTAGATTTTGTTTGTACATCACAAAAATCACCAGACCACCACTGTGTTTGACAATAATCTATACACGCAAACTTCCTGCTTATTTTTGAAACCAGTAGAACTTTGAAACCCTAAGGGGTGATACCATTTCTTTTTTTGTTCCTTTTCCCTTCATCTTTTTTTCTGTTAAGTCTCCCCACACCTTTCCATGCATTTAACTGAGTTAACCAAAAGTGTAATTTTTCACAATGAAATACTAAAAGATTTTACAAATCTACATTACAAGGAACTCATTTATCCTGAATAATGAGAGACTTGTGGTTGGTTCATGAATTGTTCATAAACACACAGAGGTGAAATTCATCAAATGCATTATTCACCCACACCATATCATTATTCTAGTCTCCTCCCTTAGCAGATGAAATAAAAGATGAATCCCTGTGGCAATCCTACCTCCCCATGTGTAATCTCTGGCTGTTTCTCCTTTGCTTTCCCTCTAGAACATCCATGCTAACAAGTTCACGATAGACCGTCACAGCGGTGTCCTGCGCATCAAACCTGGGGTCACCCTGGACTATGAGAAATCAAGAACACACTTTGTGGTGGTTGTAGCCAAGGTAAAAGGCTTTTATGTGACACTAGAGGAGGTGGGGTTGTGTTTGAGTGGGACCAATAAGTTTGAATGCAAGTGCTGCTGAAACATGGAGGCAGCAGAGTTACTCCTGCTGTAACATCTGGAGGCATGGGGGGAAACGTGGAAAGGTGAGGAAGGAAAGGTAGCAGGTGTCTGCTGCTGAACAACATCTGGGGGATGAGGGGGAGTTTCCATTCATGTCACATATGCCATGAGAATCATCTAGAAGTGAAGGGTTGGTGCATCCAGCCCTAGCTTCAAGAAGCAGCAGCCTGTGAGCTCAGGGCTTCTCATGCTGCCCAGGGCACAGCCCTACCACCACAAGGACAGACCCTGGCAGGCAGATGGGCCACAGCCACTACGCACAGCTAGACCCAGCCCAGCACAAGTGATGGATTTCTTTTCTGGAAATATCTGTGAATGTTTCTTTTTTTCACTTCCCTGCTGCCTCATGGCAGGAGCTTATTTAAATCCTGCAAATATTGCTGCACATCCCCTCTTGCCACTGTCTTTCCCAGCAGTACTATGCCTGTGACTGCACATGCTAACAGGCATTAAAAGTTTATAGATTCTGAAGTCTCTCACAATCCTGTGGGGACCTGTCACACAGACAGACTCACATGGGTGGAAAAAAGGGCAGTTTTGCTGTAACTTATGGGGACTTGGAGTTGCTCATATTTTTTTAAAATATATGGGCCTTTTAATGTATTTTTAGCCAAGTTCATTTGAGGAAGAAAAACAAAATTTGGCTTAAATTCTACCTTTGGGGCAGTAAGGAAGAAAAAAAACAGTGTATCTTTTAAAAAAAATTGGAATTTTTAGAATTGGTACTGCAGATATGTTGAACAATTCACACTCTTACACACCAGCATGACTACTGACCTACAGCTGGTGCTCTGAGACTGAGGGTGTTAAAAGCCTCTGAAATAGCAAGTTGTCTTCCTAATTGGCTCTGCTGTATCAGTGGTGCAGAGCTGGTTGTACCAAGTCCCCAGAGACTGCTTACACAGTGTGGCTGTCTCACAGGTTTGGGCTGCACAGCTCCTCTGTGCTTGCACTTTATCACTTTGGAGTTCCTGGGAGACTTTGAGCATGTACACTGTTTATTTCCCTCCAGAGATGCACTACCTTGCTACTGTGTACTGTTTTGTGTTCATGACAAGGGATGAAAAGTTGTATACCTTGGTCACTAACTTTTGCATCAGTTTCTAGTGTTCTTTTTTTCATGAAAAGCCCTTGAATTCCCTATCCCTTCTCTAAAGATCATTTATGACTGCATATATTGCCTCAATCACTTTTAATATAAGAAATTACTTATGAGGCACTGCAAGCTGTCTTCCTAATCACAGGGGAGAGCAGGACAAATGGAAAAGAGAAGGGAATAGGGCAGCACAGATTAAATCTATATGTTCAGAGAGGGAAAGGATTCCTGGAACTGTGCTTCTGAAGGCTCATGAGGTCCATGCTGATTTGCAGGCATGCTTCAGCAGAGGCATCTGACAATGACTTCTTTTCTAGGATGGTGGTGGGAAGCTCAGGGGAGACAACAAAGTCTTTTCAGCCACAACAACAGTTACTATCAACGTGGAGGATGTTCAGGACACCCCCCCTATGTTCATTGGGACCCCCTACTATGGATATGTCTATGAGGACACACTTGCAGTAAGTTCTGGTTTCATACATGGGAGAACAAGTACAGCCTTTCCCATATTACTCAAGACGGCCCTAAGGTTTCTGGCATAGACTTTACTGGAAATAGGACCTAAACTCTGATTTGACTCCTAGGTGAACTGAGCGGATCAAATCTTCCTTATGTCTACTGCCAATTTGCCATGCAAAGCTTCCTGGCTTTTCCACTGAAGTCAAAAAAGATTCTGCCCATTTACATTGGTCTAAACCCAGACAGTGACTAAGAGCTCTTGTGTAGCTCAGACCTCCAGAGGCACTTGGCTGAAGGCTTAAGCAGGGTGCCAGTGACCTCACCTGAACACATCATGCTTAAAAGCCTTCATGAGCCTGTTTGCTCTGTGGGCTCACAGTACTTTTATTTTCTAGCTCAGATCAGTCTGCTACCAACAGTTGGTTGTACAAGGTGCAGACAGAATTTATGCCCAAATACTCCAGACTCTCTGTTGTCCCATGGACATCCCCTGGGGAGAAGCAACCCTGACATCCCCAAAATGCAGGACGCTTTCTGCTCAGTGGTGCCTGGTTAGGCAGGATGGGCCAGGAAGGCCTCCTAAGCCTAAACCCAACCAGATCATCAATCAAGCAGGGACATAATTAGGAGAACCAGTCATTTACAGCCACACATTCTTGAAGCTGCAAACTAATGAATTTTCTCTGTGTCTAAGCAGTGACATGATTGTGTATGGATCAGCTTTCACCCTGATCCATAAGATTTAATTAAAATTTTCTTCATATATAGGGCAAGAAATGGTATCTACCCATGAAATTCCCCAACATTAGGCTATTGATCAGTTTAGCAGTGTGATTGCACTCTGTTCATCTGACCTTCTCTTGAGTTGCAGGAAAGATTGTGCCTTACCTTTCTGTCCAGAAATGTGCACTGCAGCCTGTGCATGACTATATACTGCAGTTCACTGCAGAGGCTGTTACATTTCAGCAGGGCACAGAAGTAATGCTCATGTACTTTGCAGGTGTTTAAAATGAATGATGTTATGTATATTGATTTATTCTGCATAGTTACATATAGATCTTGAAATAACTATCAGGTGCACACAGGAGTTAGTGTTTACTATGGAAATGAGAATCAATAAATGTTAATTATATCCAGCTTGAGCTCATAACTTACACCATTATGATATAATGATGGAAGCATGGATCAGTCCTTCCCTGTGTGGGTTTTTGCCATTAGAATGAGCAGAGAAAGAGGCAATAGCTGATTGTAGTGGTGTTTGTGCATTTGGTGTTAATTTTGTAAACTTGCTTCTTTTCTCCTTGGTGGAGTTGTCAGGATTTACAAGTACTCTGTCACCTTCAAAGGGACTGCACTGCATTTTGCCCAGTAGGCAGATTTTATTGCTGCTTCCAGCATAAACGATAATAAACACAGTTCTGTATTTCCAGTTGCTTTAACAGAGCTTGCTCTTGTTTGAAAAATTCACTCAAGGGTTGTCATGAAAATGTTCCTTGTTGCCATTTGTGATTCACTGACAGTTACTTCAATGTTCCCTGGTTCTGCAGCCTCAAACAGGAGCACTTTAGTGCAGAGGCCTGAATTGTACAGCTCATTGCCACTTGGGTGAGCATTTTAATGTGACACTCATCATCCCTCTGAGCTGATAGGAGCAGTCACATGAGCAAATGGTCCTCAGTACACAAATTCTGCACGTATGGCCCACGGCCACGTTACTTGTGCAGAAAGACAGACAGTGAAGGTTTAAGGGCAGTTAAATCACCATCATTTTCATCACAATTTTATGCCCTAGATCTTCTGTGGGCCAAGTTGCTCTGTGATCTCTCTTTGCTTCTACTGCCTGTCTGAACTTAATTAGGGAGGACCAAAGTGACCCAATGACTCCTCGGCAGCTGCCTGTGTCTCTGCGCACTGTGTGGCCATGGGACACAGAAGCCTAAACAGAAACAGCCAGAGGGAATCTTGGTAGGGCCCCAAACTACACTTTGGGTTCCAGATTGGTTGCTCCAGATCCTCTCTCCACATCTGTGGCTCCAGGCAGGTGTCCCTCGCCACAGCTTCCATCCATTCCTGTGACCAGCCAGCCCCCAGTGGGGCTGAGCCACCTGTGGCCATGCAGGGTCTGCAGCCATTTCACACCCAGAGCACTGGGCACTGGCCCTTTTTGTGCTCCCCATGTGGCACAAGCACAAGTGCCCACTCTGCCCCCAGCACTTCACTGCAAGAGCAGTTCAGTTTATTAATGTGCAGTTGCAATTTCAGTGCTCTGATCTCAGCACACAGACTGTGATTTCCCATTTCTCCCCAGGGCTCTGAGGTCCTCACTGTTGTTGCTCTTGATGGAGACAGAGGAAAGCCTAACAGTATTCATTACTGCATCGTGAATGGTGAGTAGGCTTGTCTTAGATGAAATCTGAAGGGCACTCAAAACTCCATCTGGCATTACATTAGAACAGAATATGCTAGAGTTTAATAAACCTGAGACAAAATCTCAGGAAATAATGTCAAATACCTCAAACAACTTCAGGGCCCTGTCTAGCAGAGAACAGCCAAGATTTAATTCAGTGAATTTTAGTATCTTCTTCACAGAACTGTTCTTGGAACCGTTAATGTTGCTGATTTGTTAAGCATCAGTAGGCTGCTTGTCATTTCAGAAAGTGTAAAGGGAGATGCATTCACTCTTCTGAGCATCTCTATCACTTAATCTGGGAGGTGAGATAATTCATTGGGAGACCCAGACACGGCATTTGGAGGGATATTTTTATTAATACAGTGATAAAAGTGGCTAAACAGGCAAACCTCCAATTTCTTGGAAGAAATTATATTTACCAATAAAGAGACTAAAGTGGAATAAAACAGATGTTATCAGAAGATTAATGCTTTTCATGAGCTATTCTGAGAGTGTCTATCACACATCTTTTAATAGCATGAATGTGAAATTTAGTGAATTGGTGATTCATTAGGTGGTGAAGACAACAGCTTAGAGCAACTAAACTCCAGGCTACAGCTTTGGGGATTTTGAGTTTTATACACTCTCCCTTCCAAAACAAGGCTTCTGTAGCAACTGGGCACCCCAACTCACAGGTGTGAAAGATCCCAAAACTTCCTAAGAGAAATCTGAGGTGTAGTTGAAGAGCTATGGAGCAAGTGCTTCATTGTGTTGTGATCTAAGCTGCCAGAACAAAGAGATACAGCTGAGTTTTTGTGTTGGTGTGGGATGAGACCCATGCTGAGGTTCCTTCTTAATGTAAGGAAATAAACAGGTAAAAGAAAGGTAGAAATATCAAGGAAAAGAGAATTGCAGAAGACAATGGATAGAAAATGAGAAAAGGTAAAAAGAAAGGTGCAAAATGAGGAGCAAGAACAAGTGGAATGAAAATATGCTAAAAAAGGGAGAAATTAAATAAGGAGGACAAGTGAAGGAAGAAGAACCAGGGAAAATGTCAAAGGGATGTAAGATTAATGAGAAAAGATACTGGATTGCCAAAGAAAACAGAGAAGGACCAAAAGGGTTCTCTGGGATAAAAATAAATGGTAAGTGTTTAGGAAAGAGTGGGAGAGGAAGATGGAAGGGCATAACAGATAAGTGGAACAAAATATAACTTAATGGAGAGCAAGCTTTTCTCATGCCCATTAACAAAGGGCTTTGTTTTTGTGAAAGGGAAAAGAGGGGAAGGGAATATGCTTTTAGTGCATAGAAAGTTGAAAAACAGAGAACAGAAGATTGCAACAGGTTTCTACTCCTGCACCTCAGACACTGGTATTATTTTTGACAAGCCATTATTCCAGTAACTGCAGGCTGGGATATTAAAGGACAAGAAAACACTAACAGCAAACAGGAAGTTGTTTGTTCTTCTTAATAAGCCTATCTTATCCCTGGAGTGTGGAATAATGATAGGAAATGCTCCAATCTTCTGAACATCTGGAGGAAAACCAATACTGCTACATGTACTCCAGGTTACCAGTCTCCCTGGGATAACTAGACAATAACATGAAGTATGGTGGTTTGAAACCACTATTGACTTAAGCTTCTTCTCAATCAGAATGTATTTTTCAGGCCAATATGTCTTAATAATTGGGTATTGTGAGTCAATATGTGTTCAATGTTGTGTCTAGAGTGCTTTAATGAAGTTGCAGTTATTGTAGCTATTAGCAGAAGAGGATACTATCGGATGGTTTAAAAATCAGCATTGGAAATTAGTTTAAGAAAAATACTGGGCTTTAGGGTCATCATCCTTTATTTCTGAAGGCTTGATCTCCTACATTTAAAGAGATTTCCTCTCTTTTCCTTTCAATGGTAGACTGTCACAAAGGACAGGATGTGGCCAATAGTGTGCGTGAGGCAGCATCAGGGCTGCCCTTGCTGGGCACCAGCCTGCCCTTGGCTGTGATGTGAGATGGTTCCTGACATCCTGGTGAGACGCTGCTGCCCCTCTGCAAGCTGGCATTTGCTTCAGCACAAATCCAGCAATCTGGAACTGCTGTTCTCTCCGGATCAATGGAAGTTGTTTAGCAGTAGCAAAGTCAGCCTGCAGCCCTGTCCTACCTCTGTCGGACTCTGCCTCAGTTCAGAAACCTTGGGGTTTATCCCAGATACTCCAAAAAAACATTTTTATTCAGGGCAGCCTTGCAACAGGCTGAAAGGTTTTTTTGACAACTCAGTGTTTAAGACCAGAAGACACTTCTCCAGAGATGCTGTCTGAGGGAAGTGACTGTACTTCTTTTTGACAGATTGTCAGACTTCTCACCTTAGCTGATATTAGTGAGAGAAATGTTCTTGTTTCTCAGAGACTTAATTAAGCATTTGCTAACTACAATGACAAATGTCTATTTTTATCTAAACCAGCATATAAAGAAGGCAGCATAATAAAATTAATACAAAATTTGCATGCCTGGATACTGAGGCTTGAGGGGAGCCCAAGCAGGATGGGAAGAGGAACATGCTGACAATTGCCCATAAGGGAAGAGCTCCACTGAGCTGTTCCTAGGGGAGGGAAGACCTTTTAGGCCCTCACCTCTGATTTCATCTCAGACCAGTCAGAGAAATGCTTCATTTTTGAAGAGCGGCTTTAGATCTACTGATACATATGGATAGACATATGGACAAAGATGTGCTAAGTGAAGTGTCCAGTTGATTTGCCCATGTTGTTCAAAGAAAGTGTGGCATGTAACCAGAGCATCTTGGCTTCATTGCAGGAAGTGAAGGTTCATTTGAAATCAGCAACACAACTGGAGCCATTTCTGTGATAAAAAGCCCAAATCAGCTCAAGAAAGAAGTGTATGAACTAAAAGTTAAGGTAGGTACTGTGGCCACTTTAAGACTATTGGTCTAAAATGCCATGAGTAGGCATGATTGTCCAAAATTTTTCCATTTATAGCTGACTTTACCGGCTCCAGAAAATACCTCCAATATTTGAGCAGAGTGCCAGATAGTATAAAGCAGCACTAATTGCTAATGTAGGGATATTGTTGTTGGGATATTTAGTATCTCAAATTATTTCTTTCAAATGAAAGAAATTACCTTGTCGTAATTTCATTCCTGAGGCTAGAGAATCAATGTCCTTTGCAATCTGTAGATACTCTGTGTTTCCAGATTTTATTGCTAAACTAGGGATTAATGTCTTGAGACTTCCATGTTATGAAATAGGTAACAGTGAAATCTATTATTAGTAATAGGAGTGGGACAGATCATGCAGTGTCATGTCAGCATCCACTCCTGAGCACTCTTCAGCCACACACAAACACATGCTCACACCATGATGAGCTATCACCTCAATGAGCCACTACTCATGTCACAGGCTGTGTTATTTTAAGCAGTTTCTAAAGAAAAAGTGTTTAAAAGTGCAGAATTAAATTGTGAAGACAGTATCAGTTTTCCCCAGCATGTTGGAACTGCACATTATTGTTGTGATAAGGACAATACTGGCTTAAAGGGAGCTTTGAGGAATTGCACACTGCCAGAACCAAGGGCACTTGCTTGCTCCTGGACTCAAGCAGGGCAGGTACAGCTACATCTGCCTGGGAGAACACGGATTCTCATGGGCTCAGTCAAACTCAGGCACCATTTCTTCCTCTATCAACTCTGCTTCACTGCATTCTAGTTCCATTCCCCAGATGCAGAATGGGTTAAAGCCTTGCAAGCTTTTCTGATCTCCTAATTATGTGTGTGGTGACCCAGAGCTCATGCAGGCTGCAAAAGCTGCTAGAGGAACCAAAAAGGTGTTATTTTACCCAGCATATACAGTGACAGACACCTCAGTTGCCAGACTAGTGTCTTTGGAGAAAGTGCCCTTGGTTTTGAGCCCTTTGAGCAAAAAGGCATGTTAGATAGAGCTGTTGGGACAAAAATATCAGCCAGTTTCTGTCCTGGCAGAAGAAATGTCTCAGGTTCAATCCAGTGAATCAGGCCACGTGTTGCAGTTGTTGAAACCCAGACGAATTTGATCTCATGGCTCAGAAAAATACCTAAGTTTGCCTGTCTGCCTAAACTCTATCCATCTTAAATTAAGCTCATCTAAACACCACAGCAGAATTTTGAATTGGAGACTAAATCTCAAAAAAAACCATGCACTTTTTCAAATATTTACCTAAATGCCACAAGTATAGTTTTTCTCACAGTATTAAAGGCTGCAGTCCTTGCAGCAATGAGACAATGAACTGTCTGTGGCACCACAGCAAATTTAAACATTGTCTTCCTTTTCTATTCTATCAACACTTTAGGCAAGCAACTACCTTGCCTCTATTGGATAGCTTTTAGAGAACTGTTTTCACCCAGAGTGAGTTACTAAGATGACAAAATTAGAGGGAGAATCAACTGGGGCTCTACTGGGACTGGTTTATTACCATAATCTTCTAATCATCATAAACTTCAGTGTGAAATGGACTGAGGTTTTAGAGAAATATAAGCCTATGACGCTTCTTACAAGTTAGAGTGCTTTGTACATGTGGAAGAATACCTGAACATGAATCTGAAGGAGGAGAAAACTGCTTCATCATTCTTTTCTTCCTCTTGCCTGCTGCAGGCATCAGAAGTCAGTCAGGAAGGTGACAGCTCCGAGCACACCTTTGCCATGGTGACCATACGGGTGGTGGACCTCAACAACCACCCACCAACCTTCTATGGAGAAAATGGGCCCCAGAACAGGTTTGAGCTGACCATGTATGAGCATCCCCCAGAGGGTGAAATCTTACGGGGACTGAAGATCACAGTCAATGATTCAGATCAGGTAAATGGAAACTATGCCGTTTTCCTGTCCTATTTTCCTAAAGACTAGAAAGAGCTCTCAGATGGAGAAATGTCATTTTAGAAACTCAACTGTTTCACCTGCATTCCCTAAAAGCCTAGGACAGACAAAGTAGTGGTAGAGTCCAGTACCCCACAGAGACGGGACCCAGCAGTTCTGTTAGTCTGTCCTGTGCTGTTATTCCAATGGAAGGGTGGTCCTAAACCTGCAGCCCAGGTCTTGTGGCAACTGGAGTTGAACAATCCTTATGAACTTCCCTAACTGCTGGTTGTGTTCATTTGTTGCCAGTGTATTGTCTGAGAACATACTCCCTTTGAACATTTTCTTGGAGGTTCCAAGCCCTTTAGTAACTTCAGGTGCAATTACTGTTTACATCTTCTTCTAGCCCTTATGTTGCATTCAGGGTCTGCAGTGCATGCTTTGATTAGTCATTCCCACTGGAATGATATTTTTAGGTACTCTTAAAAATTATGCCCAAGCCAAACCAACTCTTACCAGATCAAGGAAAAGGAAAGAAGATTCCATCCATCTCAGCCTGCTGTCTAACAGACCTGTGATACCTGTAGGTGCTAGGGCAGTGGTTGCTATAGGGACCCCTAAGCTAAATACTGTATGAATGACATCCATCTGAGTTAGCCTCAGGTTAGCTAGTGACAAGAAGAAAGCTTAATGCATCTGACAATTGTATTACTATTGGAAAGAACTCTCTTCTGTAACTGTGCTCAGTATTGTGCTGGTTTGATGGTATTGTACTTTATCAAACCCACTGGCTTCTTCCCCCTCCCTCCTGCTGCTCTGCAGCGAGCAGATAAATGACTGCTTTCAAAGCAGTGCTATGTCTATCCTGCTATTGTCATGGGGGATGGTGCTGCAGAGGGGAGAAACAAAACCCATCTCTTCTCTTCAGAGACAAAATATATATCTAGGCTGACAAAATATTCAGGCTGCAAGTTAGGCTATAAAATAAGCAGAAAACACTGATAAATACACTGTATAGATTTCTCAAGAAGCTTCCTAGTATAGCATTAGGCATCACTCTAGGGGGGATGGGTAGCTTTTCTTCTAAGGCAGAGAATGCAATTTTTTCCCTTCCATCCAAGATGATTCTGTAGAGAAGAAAATTAAACATGTGTCTGTCTCTGTCACAGCTGCTAGAGACTTTGTTTTGGGGGAGTGGATGAAAAAGGTGAGGAGGAGGAGGAAGCTGTGGTTAAGGTCTGGTTTAGGCCTACAGACTGATGGAAATGCCATGCTTACTTGCAAGAAAATGATATAGAAATTTCTCTCCCAGACCTTTTCAGCATGGCTTAGGACTCAGTGCTGCTGTTCCCTCAGTCATTCCTGTGTCCCATGGCTGTCTGCTTAGAGACATGCAGCAGCATGGCAGGCTCTGAGCAGATCTGGGTTCCATGGACATCAGGGGCAGAAATCCCTCAGCTGTTGGAGGGACGCAGTTCTCTCCCTGTCCCATGCCACAATTCTAGTCATGTATAATCCCATGTGCCACACACTTTGTATAACTTTGTCTGACTCTGTATTGTCAGACTGTCCAATCTTCTCATCAGCACTGTTTTCCATAGCCCAGCAGCTGTGGCTTTGTGTGTTTGGCTTTACCACCCAGCAAAAGAGAGCCCATTATCATCTCTGTAGTTGAGGTTAGGGTTTGTGTGACCAAACAAGACAGACCACTGAGTTTGGATCCAAGGTCACTCTGTTTCCCTTAAGGGACTACTGCTGAATACTTTTTCTCTTGACATGAGCTAGGGCTGCTCAAGAACTGCTCATAACAAGCTCACCAGGGATACAGCTGAAAGTAAAATTGTCCTGTTTGAAAGTTATTATTAGAAATTCATCGTCTCAAGATTCATGCTACAGGCAGAGCATGGCATCAGGCAGGCAGGGAATCTGGCTGTTTGTCACAGTGTAAACATGACACTGAGAAATTGGTGAACCCAGGGAGTTTGGTGAGGTAGGCTCAGCTCATTTTCACATCTTCTCTGTAAGGCAAAAATATGGGGATCCCCCTTTCATCTTTTCTCTTACATGCTCCATGTTAGTTTAAAAGAATTAGCCTGGCCAGCTGGCTCTGGCTCACTCTTCCCAGCTTGCATACAAGTGATGATAACATTTTAGATACTGCTGCTTCCCATGTTCTCTCTGGCTAGAAGGTCTATCTGTGTAAGGGCTGGGCTTGTGAGGTTGTGTTGTCCTTACTGGAGCAGTTCAGTTGTCTTTCCTTGGCAGGATTTCCCTGCCAACATGCACGTGGTGTCATCTCTGTCTGGCTCCCAGCGTGTGGCACAAAACCCAAGGCTGCTTGCCACAGGACTCCTCTCTTAGCCAGGCCTGCTGCAGGGTTTTTCCATTATGACTGAAAGAATAACCAAGCTTGTCAATCTATTTTAAGAAAAGCTGTGTCTGTCTTGTGACTAGGGCTGGAGGGATTATACAACTAAGCTTCTTAGTGATCTCCTGCCCAGGGGATGGAGAGCAAAGGGCTCTCAGCAGTAAGGCTTGTTCTCATTTCATGTAGTTTGAAGAAACAGAGCAATCCAGGCTGTAAGAAACGTGACATTACTGAAAACAATCAATGTCATATCTGCTTTAATCAACAGGGAGCCAATGCTAAATTCAACCTCCGGCTTGTTGGACCTGGTGGCATCTTCCGAGTGGTTCCTCAAACTGTCCTGAATGAGGCTCAGGTTACAATAATAGTGGAAAATTCTGCTGCCATTGACTATGAAAGCTTCAAGGTGTTAACCTTCAAGGTACTTTTGCTTTCCAGGTCCTCTTTTTCAGTGTATACAGTATGAGTATGATGGCTTTTGTGTCTGATGTGATTTGGCTTCTTAATCCACCCAGAGCTGTCTGATGCATTATCAGATACATGATAGCCCATGTAAGGGAAACTCATTTCTGCCTCTGGTTCACCACCTTCACAAGGTTTAATGGATGCATCTGTGGACTGATTTAGTCCAGTCAGTGCAAAATGTTGATTTTTATGTCTCTCTGGAAACTGTACATGTTGGTGGCTCTGAATCATTCTAGACTGAACCCTTAGGGTGTTATTTCTGCACTCACAATGATACATTCACAGGATGAAATCCTAATTTCTCTGCAGCAAGAACTTTACCTACTTAGTGCTAAGTAATTTGATTCATGATCATGCTTTTGGATGTTGGCAGCCTGAAGACCCCAGCTGACTGGAAGATAATTCCCCAAAATTGCTCACTGCCTTTGTCAGAGTCTATCTATCTGTATGGCCATTTGCAGGCTGACCTGAGGCTCACCCACGCTCTAAACCAGCCCTGCAAGAACCAGTTTAATCCAAAAGCTGGAACCTTGCATTATCACCTTCCCTGATGGATTCTTTGGCTCATCAACAAGATAATTAAGTAGTCTGGTTTTCTGTCAGCTGCCTCTGAAATTGAGTGTAGATGTTTCAGTTCTGACTGCAAAGAACTGCATAGACAATCCCTGTAATAATTTTTAAAAACTGCCAAAACAATCTAGCTGAGAATTAACATAGGCTAATTTTGTAACGTACAGAGAGGGGCATTTTTTGCACAATCCAAAATCCAAAATTCCACAATTTTGTTCTCCCACTTGCTGTATGGTTTTCTTTGTGTCCTTAGCAAGTTTCACTTCAATATGTTTCAGGCCTCTTCTTGTAATGTTCCTAAGCCATTTTGAGCTTTATAGGTTATAGATGCCACAAAAATATGAGGCATCATTACTGCATTAAAGTGGAAGATTCTGAAAGGGCCATAAAGTGCTACTGAAACTAATTATAACAAGCACACATTTATTCAGGTTAAACTACCAAAAGACCAGTAAAGGAGTTACACATGGCCTCCTCATGAATGCCAATAGAAATCAAAGTAGTTAATGTGATTGCCACGAACACCAAAAGAATTAATTACCAGGAAAAAGGATATCTATTTTTATAGCTTAAGCAGTTATTCTCTTTTTAAAAAAATATTTCTGCTGGAGAAAGACTTTCCAAAATTATTTCTACTGGAGACTATAAGACTTGGCTTAAAAATTGCAGCCTTTTTCTGGATTCCAAATGGAGAAGGTGCAGATGGATGATATGGTAGCAATGTATGGCAGCAAATACTTTATAAAGACCTCATTGCTGGCTTCACTTTCCTGCAAAGTTCAAATCACTTCCTACCCAGTTTTAGTTGTCAGTGCATTCATTCTGGTTAGAATATTGGATGAAATATATTTCTATTTAATGTGTATCTCACAACAGCTTTGAGAGATTATCTTCAGGGTTTTGGGGTTTTTTTCTGTAAGCAATGATCCCTCTCCTCTAGTTCATTTTTGAAGAGTAAAATGCCAGATAATAATTAAAGCTAATTTGTCTGGGAGATGCACTGAAAAACTTTCTGAAGCAAAGGCTGCTAGAGAAACCTATCTTTCATTTAGTGCTGGCTCTTAAATGAAGGTGGTAGTCAGGAGTTCCTTCATTTTCAGCTGTCTAAGAGCTCAAATGGGTTTCCCAAAGTATGGCAGCAGTGGTAACTCACACCTCTCCCCAGTCCCTCTGCCACAGGGGCCAGATATTGCTGTCCCACCTTGTTATGGGCTGCCATGCTTTGGGGAAAACCTCCTGCCTCTATCTGCTTCAGCTCAGAGCCCATCCTGCCCTGGCAGGAGCATCCAGACATTCACATCTACAGACTGGGGCCAGCGGAGGCTGCAGTTATCTTCAGCTGCCAAAATCAAACTCTATTTTAAAAATTCACCTACCACTTTTAAAATTGCATGTCAGTTTGCTCTTCTGGCACCTAAGTATGAATTGTTGATATGTAGTCCTGTGAAGTAATAGTTTTACACTACTTTTTTCTCTCTGCATGAAACAAACAGTACAGGTCTGCATAAGACACTGCAGGCAAGTGAGCTGACACAATTTCCTCCCTGAAGGAAGATGTTGTCAGCATGTAGACATAGCAGGACCATGGCTGCTTAAAGGAGAGGGAATAAAAAATTAGTGTAGAAAACAAAGTAAAAATACTGAGCTTTCATAAGGTGTACTAAGATGGACTGATTGCAGCAGCAAAGATGTTAGAATTTAGTAATAGCTCCATGTGCACAATCAGCACTAAGATTTTACCTCTGTACTGCTTTAGGAGCTGAGATTTCTCATGAGGAGGTTTTTGCTGATGTCTGCATGGCTGTCCTTTCAAAAATGTCTTTTGCTGCAACACCACCTGAGACTCCCAAACACAAAAGTTTGGGAGGTCACAGCAATGGAGTGACCAGGCTCTCCTTTTGGAGCAGCAGTAATTGCCAGCAATCCCTCGAGATTCATTTCTTATCTTTATTTCCAAACATTATAAATGTCCACACAGCAGGCACAGCTCTATGAGATGACACTGAGATGGCCTTTTCCCTGTCTGCTTGAACAGCTCCCCACCCTCTGCTTTCACCTGGAGGTGATACAGTTGTCCCAATCTGGCAGAGTGTCCCCCAGGCAGTCGGGGTGCCACTGCTGGGGAGCATCACTCGCCCTCCCCACAGGCCCTGCACAAGAAGGATGAGCTCCCAGGGGAGCAGGGGATGCTGTGCCAGCCCTGCTGCTCCTGCCAAAGCTCCCTTAAGCACCCCCTCCTTGTGGGAGCTCCTGGGACACATCTCCTAGCAATTAAAACCCTTGCAGCCAGATTTCTCAGCTGAGCCTCTTAGATCTCAGTTCACGTCCTGCTCAGTAGTCTATTAGTGGTGTGCTGTCTTCTTAGAGCCCTCCTGCTTGTGTTAACTATGTCTCTGCCCAAGCATGAAAACCAAACATTAGACCATTGTTTCTGGTGTTACCCATCTGGGCTCAGCCCCCTCAGAGCTCAGGATTGAGCTGATAGTGCTAGATCTATCAGCTGATAGCTGATAGAGGCCTAGTGCTGATCCTGTGTGATGCAGACACTGGGACAGACCCTGGGAAGGTCCCAATGTCTCTCAGTACCCATTGTTGAAACTGCTCTTTCTGGCTTACAGAACCACCACAGACCACCTGAGCTTGCTGCTCTGCCAGCTGAGGCATCCTACTGATGCTTCCCAAATCCAGCAGATTTTGCTCAGTAAGGAGCAGACAGATACAGTAAATATTCAGTTTACTCTGTGTGATGCCTGTCCTTTCAGATGAGCAGTTATAAGAATGTGTGATGTCAGAGAGCTCTGTTCTCCTCAGAGACAGTGAGGCGATACAAAAGCCCGCATTTCATCTGATAAAGTCCTAATTAGTATGAGGCAATGAGGGTAGAAGTGCCATGAAGTCAGTAGTAGAAGTCCTCACAATCTTTGGGAAATGGGACTCTGCTCTACATGCCTGACTATCCAGCATTTGGGGTGGGAGTAATGCTGCTTCAAAACAACTGGTTCTCTCATCTTTTTTCCCTGTTTGGTGCAGTTTATTGTTCCTGACTTCTTTCTTGATGAAGAATTTCCTCTACAAAAGATCACAATTAAGTTTATGTCCTTACTCAAAATAATTCAGTGGTTCTGTTTCCCAAAGTTCTAGGAGCTGCCCAGGGATGATTGTTTGTCAGCTTTTGTTACGGTTTTTGGATGTGTGTTGGTTAGTTATGACCAGTCATATGTGTCACATGAAGTCTAATGTGAATACACAGGTTTGAAGGCCTCTTGACTGCCCATCTCAAGCAAGCACATACAAATAAGCTGAGGCCGCACGCTGACCTGGCTCATCATCTCCCTGGTTATGAGCTGTCTGCTCCAACCAGGCTAAAATGCACTGATGGTGCCACAGATGGTGGAGGAAGCTCTTTTAAGAGAACTAATAGCTGCTTTGTGGTGATTTCTGGGTTTTCTCTTCTTAGCTTCTTGCAATAGAGGTGAACACACCGGAGAAGTTCAGCTCGACGGCCGACGTGGTGATTCGCTTGCTGGACACCAATGACAATGTCCCCAAGTTCTCCTCTGACTACTACATTGCCAGGATCCCTGAGAACTCCCCAGGGGGCTCCAATGTAGTTGCTGTTACAGTAAGTTTCATTCACCTCTTAAGAAATGTTCTCTTTTCTGGGTGTCTGTGGAAACAGTTCAAGTACCTTAAAAATAGTGGACAGGGCAAATAGCAAATCTTACTCAATATTTGACTTCTGGACCAAACTCCAATTATTTTCCAGAATCAACCCAAAAAAAAAGCACTTTGGGAAAAAATAAAGTTTTAGGCAAATATTATTTAGAACAAGAAGGGCCATCTGCTTTTAAGACAAATCCCATGGCCTTTGAGTATTAAGAAAGCCTCAGCCAAATCAGTGTCCAGTGGGAAGATTCAGTTATGGCTAAGTGGAATTGGATTTACTGGATTTGCTTGCTTAAGTATGAGTAAAAAGAAAACAAGATGGCTGCTTAGTAGGTATTAGTCTCCTCCTCTTGGGAGGAACCTGGCTGCTAAAGGAATCATGAAACAGTTAATGAGGGCAAGAATATAAAATGAAAGTGCTTAGGACTGGGAAAAAAAAGATCCTTATGTATGCATCTTCTCACAGTGGGAAAAATATGCCTATAGATTTTCCAGTATCTTGCATTTTCATACAAAGAAGTCAGGGTTGTTATATGGGCCCTGAGTGCTGGAGGAGCATTTCCAGCTGCTTCTCTCTAATGCAACTGCTGAGACTGGAAAATGCCCTCATGTCACAAAGCCAAGAATGTCACCTGGGCCTTGGTGGGGGATGCAAGTCACCTTGCAGAGGCCACACAGGTAAGGATGGTGCAGGCAGGTTGCCAGAGATCTCCAGCAGAAGCTGGCAACATGTAAGAAAGATGATTAAATAACCAGAATAATAAAGTGCTGAAGGCATATTTTAGCAATGGAAAAATCAAAGAACTGAAACATAAACAATAGAGAAAAGGTTATTGCATGAAACTAATAGGAAATCTATTAGAGACTCTTAAACATAACTATCTTTGAGATAAAAGGAATAAAAAAAATCTAGGATGTGGAGAGCAAAAAAAGAAGAGATTTAAAAAATGTTTGCAGAAGCAATAAAACTTCTGAGCCAAAGTGCACAGGAATGTGTAGCTGAAAGAGCCCATGTAAAATTTAGTCATGTGCTGTCAACTCAGTACTTGACCCAGATTCACAACTATATGTGAAAACTAAGATGTTTCAAGTACTCAGAATGGCAATTCTGGAAGAAGTCCCAGGTATGCAGATGTTTTAAGTGAAGTCAGACAGTACTAAACTAGGCTGGTCAAAATCATGGGGTTGGAGAATCTGACAAACTCATGCCAAAGAACAGAACTACATCTACCAGTAGGGCTGCAGGTGTGTTCTGTTAATCATGCAGGAATCAAAGACATTGTTCCAGTTGTCAGATATTAAACAGGGAGATGAATGAATCAACCAGCACCACCATGGATTTTGATGGCCAGATACAGTAGTATAACACCTCCTCAGAGCTATCAGAGGAGCAGGAGCTTATGGAAATAGCTGCTACCAAATCAATAGCTTTCCTAAGCCTGAACTAAGAAAGGAAGCCAACAAGAGCATAAAACAAAGATATCATCTGGTAGCAGTATATGCATTATTAAAAGTCACACAGGCACAAGAGTGATTAAAATATAAACAAAGCTGAAATACAATGTATAGATTGAAACATTTGTTATTCATTACTATAAATTGACTTAATTAAACAAGCAGAAGCTTAAAAATACAATATAAGAAGTAAATAATTTTGTCTAGGGAATATTCATTAATGTTTAACTGATAATTAGGAAGGTCTGAGAGCTGGCAGTGTGTTCATGTCACTGAGATTATCTCCATCTCTATCAAAGGAGGAGGAGGAGGTAACTGTGGATGGATGGGGCCATCTAGCGTCACTCTCTGTGCCAGAGCCCCCGGGCACAGGGACAGCATTCCTGGGGCTGGCAGGGACATTTCCTGGTCTTAGGCTGTGCACTTTCTAGGTGCTTATTTGCTCATGCGGTTTCCCACTAAAAATGTGATGGCAAGGAGAGTGAAAAGCATTTGGGCCTGTTAAAATAAAAATGAAACAGTTCTTTTTCCGTTTTAGTAAAGTAAAACTCTTTTTTTTTTTCTTTTCTGAAGGCTACAGATCCAGATTCAGGGCTTTGGGGAGAAATCAAGTACTCTATCTATGGAACAGGAGCAGATCTGTAAGTAACAAGCAAATAAATAAAACTACATAACCTCTAAGTAGTGTTCTGAAAGAATTTTAAAAGAAAGCTAGCAAGGTCATTCTTGGTCTGCTTATTTCCAAGGACATTTATACCATGTTCTTTGTGAGTTCTGTGAACTGCTGCTGTGATCATTAAACACCTACTTAATCGACCTAAGGAATTCTACCCACAAACCCCCAAAGAGATACAAAGCAGCTAAAGTATCAATACACAGGATTTGTTCAATCACCATTTGAAAAATACTTGTAAGAGAAAGAGAGATTTTTGGTCTAGTTGTGAAAAGTCAGTTCTACAGAAAAATAATTTCTTAGGTTTATTCCCCTTCCCTTTCCATATGGCTTTACAAATAGCTCTTGTCAAGATAAATCAAGGAAGACAAGATATTCAAGGATATATACTTCAGCTTTGGAGGTCAGCTGCACTGGCTGTTAAAAGCCTTTCATATATTTAAATATAATAGTCCTGCATCAGGAAAAAAGGAATTTGATGCTTACTTGATTTGGTAATAATGCCTCCCTCCCTCTCCCTGTCTTTGGGAACAGTGCTGGGGGTAGAACATCTTGAAACACTGGTTCCTTCACACCATGTCCATCCCAGCTCTCACACATGGCTGGGATCAGTGACATGGCTGTCACAGATATTCCTGCTGGAGCCTGCATTCTGCAGGGCAGAATGCTGGAAATGAATGAAAAGCCTGAGCTTTTCAGGCACTCATCTCAAGAATCTTTTTTCCTCTGTACATTATCCACCTGGAGCTAAAGCTGAACTCTTCTTGTTAAGGTGAAAACCATTTAGGAGGCACAATCAAAGTCCAAAATCCAAGATGTTAAGGGTGAGCCTCTTCTGTAGCCAGAAGGATACACATTTGGGAGCATTTCCACGATGGATTATTTTGAGCTCTTCACTAAGTCTTTAAGCTAGCTGCTAACTGCACAGAGAGAAGCAAGAAAAGGTCATGTCATGCAGGCAGACCTCTTAGGTTTAGAATGCAGCAGCTGGTGGAAAGAAGCTTGAGAAGGTTGTTGACAAAGGATTTAGGGGGAAAAAAATGTAAGCACAACTTTATTCTGATTGGCATTATGAGGCTGCTCAGATTCAGTGTTCTTATGCTGTTGAATGAAGAAATTATGATGTGAACTTTTCTTTTCCTTCTTAAGTATTTTTGTTTGTTTTCCTCCTGCCAGAATGGCATCACTCTGCAAGGCCGGATTGATTTTCTAGCTCTGGCACCTTTAGATGTGATGAACACACAGTTTGATGCAGATAGGAGAATTTCAGCCAGAGGCACAATGTTTCTGTGTTGGATATTACATCAGTGGGCGTGCAGTTGTGTGGGCAGAAAGATGAGTTGTACTGGAGTAAGAGAAATAGTGTTAACTGTTGAAGATGAAACCAATCTGATGGCAATCCTACTTTGGTAATCCAAGCTGCCAGTGGGAGCACTTTTATTCTTCCCCTAAAATGGGAATGATGATGAGTGATGAGTTAGGCTGGGCTGGGTGCTGAGGAGGCAGCACAGGCACTGTCTCCTACACAGCTATTCCCACCTACAGGTCTTGGATTTCATCAAAACTTGTATTTGTATTTAACAGGGTTATGAGAACAATTGAAAATTCTAGATTGCTAAATGCCCCTTTTATCATCACTCTCAATTGCATTCAGAGCTGGAATACAGAAAATATTTTGCTACCCTGTACATTGATCAAAGGAAATAAAAAAACTTTCATCTGTTAAAAGCACTACTGCTTGGAGCCTACAGTGGCAGTCCATTTTAAAAAGACACTTTTTTGGTATCTCCCCTATAAATCCAAACTTTGGGCTAACACTTTTGACAGTGTCTCTATAATTACAAATGTGTAAAACTGAACTTGCAACAGATAAATCTGAACACCCACTCCATCCTAGTGTCAGTCTATGGAAAAATGGTTATTTTTGGAAAAGATAATTTGCTCTGTGGTTTGGGAGATTTAAGAGCAGATTTTTTTCCTACCCGTTCTGAGAAGTGAAGACCTTAAATATGATATGCATCACACTTCTTTTAGATATTTAGGTGACATAAATCAGTCTTAATTTATGCAGGAAATAATCTATTACAGTGTACTTATAAACTTTCCATTTAAAAGTACACTGTACTTTTAAACTGAAAAAAAAAGTAAAAAAATAGGCTTAATGTTTTTCCTTTTAATGCAAGAAAATCACTCTGGGAGAAGGCCATCACACTGAGCATTTACTGAGTGAGGACAAAGACTTTTAATGGAAAATGCAGCTAAAATGGCATAAGAGAGAGAAACCCAGGAGACACTGACAGTTCTCTGGTTTTCAAGCCTAAAGGAACTAGACAAACACCAGGTAGAGTGAAAGATGTGGAAATATCACCTGGAGAGGAGTCAGGTGAAGAGTGCCAGTGTCTGGGCACAGCATTTCAGTCTTTACAGCCTGGAGCAAAGGTGGGATCTAAACACACATTAAATGACCAAAAGTCTTCTCCTGCTTCTTTTCCAGGTTCCTAATCCACCCATCAACAGGTATAATTTACACCCAGCCCTGGGCTGTGCTAGATGCTGAAGTGAACTCGAAGTATAATTTCTATGTGAAAGCAGAGGACACAGATGGGAAATACAGCTTGGCTGAAGTGTTTATCACCGTGCTAGATGTCAATGACCACTCTCCAGAGTTCAATGAAAACATCCAGGAGAAGACAATGATCATTGGGTCACCGGTGAAGATAGAGGTGAGATGGCACCGTGTGTCACAAAGCTGAGTGCTTTGGAAAAGCCCTGGCTCTGCTCTTTATTCTCAGGGGTTATGATGAATGTCTGAAAGTTGTCTTTTCTTGCAGCTTTATTTGGCACATCCATTTGGATGTAAAAAATGGATTAAAGAGTAGAATTATAGTATTTACTGACTGCTGAGAAGGAGAAATAAATTCTATAGGCAGAATATAAAGTCCTGTTACAGTCTTTGAACAATCAGCTGGGGGACAGTCCTGGATTATACAGTGATCACAAGAAGCCCAAACAAGATTAGTGAATGAAAGGGTTTTGAACACATAACCTTCCTGACACCCCTTTGTGTTCAACCACACAACTCAGTTCCCTTCGTTTTGAAGAACCTTATCCAATAATCCAGTGTGGAACAGAAGGTGAAAAAATGCAATAACAATTCCCAGTCTGAACATCCTATTTACACACAGTTAAATGTACATCATAAGCCTGAACACACAACACCTAATGTTTGTAGAATAAATACCACAGCACAAAAATTAAGGCAGCTATAGTTTATGGTATGGAGCTAATCCCACTGTTCTCTATCACTTCACATTTGTCCCCCACACTGTGTGAGAAGCTCTCAGCTGAGGACCATTTGCATTCTACAGATAGGTTACAGTTCAGTTTTTCGCTGATTTTATTTCATCTCAAATAGAAGTAATTTATAAAGAAAGGAGTCTAGTCCTGCTGTTTTTCACTAGAAAATGTAACCTAGCTTCCAAAATTAAATGAAAGCAGCCCAGTCATGGCACAGATGCTCTCAGAAGTGAATGCTCAGAAGGTGTTTGTCCTCAGGCAAAGACAGAAACAATAACACCTTTGTTTTTCACACTTCCCCTACCAGGCCATAGACCAAGATGCAGAAGAACCCAACAACATTGTGGATTATTCCATCATGCAAGCAGATCCAGCCAATGTGTTTGACATAGACCAAAGCACGGGGGAGATCAAGCTGAAGTCCTATATCAGATCTCTGGACATCATCCACAACATCACAAACAATAAAGACTGCATATGGTCATTGGTGGTCCAGGCCAAAGACAGAGGCTCCCCATCCTTCAGTACCACAGCAGTTCTGAAGATTGATATCACAGAAGAGGTAAGCAAATGTTTCAGAAAAATCCTGCTGGGAGACAATCCCTGAAGGGCACCAAAGGGTAGACTTTGCTTGCTCCATTTCTGAGACTCTCTTGCCAGCTCTGTTTTGCAGAGTGCTTCTATAGCCTTGTGGTGAAGTTGGATTCTACAGCCACAAATGTGAAAGATATTTTGATATCTTATCATTTATATTATGCTCCTACCTTTGTACCTTGCAAAGGTACAAAGGTAGGAGCATAATATAACTGGGAGATGAGTTTTTTGTTAGAGATTGTTAGATATGAATTAAGGTCTATAGACTTCTGAGAGTAAAGGTAAATCCCAACTGCTAAAGTTCTGCTTTTTTATTTTCATCCAGGAGGAAAAAAAAAAAAACTTTTTCCCTTACAAAAAGTGAGTGGAAAACAGCTGGGATCAGAGTGAACTAAGACAGAGAAACCACCCTAAGTGACATAGGAAAAGTGAGAAAAAATTTTACAGAAATGCTTTAAAGTACATAGAACTTTGGATGGGAGTTCAATAATTGCAATATTATTAGCAGATGAAACAAGACTTTAAAACAGTCTTGCACATGTAGGCTGAGATTTTCCTTAGTCCAGCTTTTAAGTCAGCTGAAGAACAAGCAGCGATTTATGGTGTGCAGCACACGCTTGCACAATTCTTATTTATTGTAACTGCCTTGCCATGCCTTTAAGTAGGTACCAGCAGGGAGGAAATGGGCTTTAAAGCAGATGAGAAACACATCATTAGCCTGACAGTCTCTGGACCACACACATAAACAGGGCAAAGATGCAAATCTCATCTTGCAGACAGCAGCTGGCCTTCTCTTTCTTTGCTCACAATGCTCCCACTGCTCTTAGGTCTGTTACAATCTTTCTCTGTTTACTCCATCTCCTCTTATTCCCCTGGTACTCTGAGGCACATTCATATGATAGTTTTTGTACACAGTTCAGAGCCTGCTGGACTGCCAGGGCACTTGGGTCTGCCCCAGCAGGGCAGTGCCTACATGGGGCGGCCTTTGGGGCCAGCCAGCCCTGTGAGCCTGAGCTGGGCTTGCTGCTGCAAGGCTCTGCCATGTGGAGCTAGGGGACTTCAGGGTGTCTGTGGTGAGTCTAGAGATTTAGCTGTTCTTACAGATACAAAGGAAATCTATCTTAACTGCTTAACACTTGGATTTCTCATGGAAATGAAGTTTTCATGGTTTTTATGCAACAAACAAGAACTGCTGCCCACAGCCAAGAGCAGGAGAGTTTCCCTCCCTGCTCCTCACATGCTGCATGTTTCAGGAGTGCATGGCAGCAGGTGGACCCAGGCCCAGGCCTCAGACATGTCCCTGCTGGTGGCCACCAGCCTCCGCTTCCCTCCTGGGTGAGCTGGAAACCTCTCTGTGTCAGCATGTGGGGCTGGTGGGTGTGAGTGGAGGGAGGGTGTCCCACACCTCCCTGCTGGGGGACAACATGCTCCTGTACCAGCTGAAGAAGGACAACTGGAAGGAAAACAAAAGTAGCTGATACTTTGGGATAAGGAGTTTCCTGAATTTCCTTCTAGTGCTTGAAGCAATAGTACCTGATGAAAGATGGTGTCCTGTATGAAGTCCCTTGTCTGCTCCCTTTTCTACCCCTCCAGGGGTATATATTTGCCACAAGGTGAGGGAGAGCCCTCCTCATAAAGTCTGAAAGGGGAAGCAGAGAGCATGTGATGACATAGATTTCCTCACACACAGTTCTTTTCCTTCTTCCCATGCTCTTCTTGATGCCAAGTCCCAACAGAGAGTCCCAACAGCATCTTCTTTCTTTGAGTACGTTTCTTCAGGAGGATCTGGGTTACTAATCTAGTGTCACATCCTCCATGACCTTTTGTACATGTCTCTATTACTTCTTCCATGGCTTGTAATGATTTGGGTTGGTTGGATTGGGGGATTTTTTATCCCATAGCCATCCCATCTTTTTTGCAGAAACAGATTTCAGTTTGCAGGTACATGAGATGCAGTGCCAGTGTCCAAAACCCTTGCTCACTGCCTGTGTCCCAGGGACAGACAGTCACTGCTAACACTTTGTGAAGAAAACAATCTCTTGGTGTAGGCATATTGCAAATACACACTCTCTCTCTCTCTTTTCTCTGAGGCCGTTACAAATGTGCATTTCATCCAGCTGTACAAAGGCTCTTATTTCACTGTTTGGTGGGCATTTATGTATTACTGATTTTGGATAAGGAGGATATTTTTGAATGCATCCTCCAGAGGTTTCCTGCAGTGTTAATCACAGTAAGTAATTAAACAGGCATATTTTCTGATTAACGTTTACCATTGCAATTAGCACAAGTCTGTGCCCTTCGAGATGGATGCCTTGTGGCTAAGTTCAGCAGTATTGCACATCAAAAGGACCTTCTCTTGGAATAATAGAGTGCTAAAAGAATCCAAAGGCCTTTTAATTTAACTGAGTCTGATTTTATGGAAATTGGCATTGAGGGGCATCTCTTAATATCCTATCCTTTCACAATAAATAAAAAATGCTCTTTCACAGAATGAAAAAACATATGCTGGAAAAGCCAGTCTTTTTCCATCCATATGTCTCACTCAGAAATCTATTCCTGCCTGATATTTTCAGAGAAGGCTGATTCCCACTCCTGTTCCTGAAAGTTGGCCTGATGGGGGCATCCCTTGGCCTCTTGATGACTCCACTGAGGTTCTGCAAATGTAGAGGGGGTGTTTATTTACACCTCCTCACAGGCTGAGCCTGAAGTCCATATTTAGACAGCATAATCTGTAGTTCTTAATAGCTTTGACCACTCATTTAGACTTCTAAATATATCTGGTGAGTCTCAGTTTTAGATTATCTTAACTGAAAGGTTCAACAAAAATCTTTGAAGTAACATGATCTTCTGCTTCATGCTAATGGCAACCATGGGAGCTGTGGTTGCTGGCACTGAACAGCCCCTGCCACATTTGCAGAGCAGTTAGCCTCTTCTTTCCATAGTTTCATGGACTTGAAGTGAATACTGGTTTGATTTGAGAAGTCTTGTTTCATGCTGGTGTTTGTATTGTAAAGTGCTGCAAACACAGCCTTCATATACAGTGACAGCACTGAGCTTTGGGATAAGCACTGCAGGGACAGCTGGTGTTCTACCTCGGATCAGGAGTCACTTCTGAAGCAAATCTCCTGATCATCCCCACATGCTGTGGGATGGCCTGTGCCTCACATAGCTCCAAGCACACAAGGTGGGTTCTTTCAGAGGAAAATGTGTTTTGGGAGCACAGCTAGTGTGCCAGGGCACCAACAGGCAGTCCCTCCCTGCAACCAGGCTAGAACAAAACCCCAGAAACACTGAATGTGTGGAAGTGGGCTCCTCAGAGGCAGCTGGTTCATTGCACAGATTGTACAGATCCACTTGCTCAAGTCAACAGAGCCCAAGTTGTCTGTAACACAATCATTGGACCAAACAGTTATGATGGAGTCCAACTCCAGCACTGCCAAGTCCATCACAAAACCATGTCCCTTAAGTGCCACATCTACAAATAATCTGCAATAGCTTGGGCTCTTAACAGGTTTGCCTACTTACTTAGACTCCTAAATATAGCTGGTGAGCCTTAGCTGCTCTTGTGATTGAAGAGCTCAACCACATTCCTTCTGGGTCCAGCTTCTGGATACTTGGCCCACGTGCTCTGCTCACTGCAACCCATGCATTAGGAAAGGCTCTTTAGAAACTGCCACAGCCAAAAAATCCCCAAAAAACAGCAGAGCATTATCTTCTGTGAGCCGTGGTATTTTGGTATTTTAACTCCCTTGATGACTGTTAAGGAGTGTTTCTTCCATGTCCCAACTCACAGAGATGTGACAGCTTTCATTTAATCATGTATCTGCTTTTATTTTATGTGCACCAGAAAAACCAGTACCCTTCAAAATGCAGCATGCCTTTTAGGAAAAAACAACAGCTTCAGCAATTCAACAAATAGTGGCACTATTTGTTGAGCTGGCTACATCACACTGCTGGTAATCAACACAAGGACTTGATGTTTTAAATGTGCACTTGCCGTAAGTCTGTCTGCATCCTGGCTAAGATTATGACATTCCTGGCCTGTATTGCAAGTTATTCCTTCTATTTATCCTGCCAGTGTCATGGCCATGACAAACAAACTCTCCCACTATGTGCTTACAAAATGGCTGATGTTTTTATGCAGAACAGTTGTTGTCCAAGGCTAATTCCAGGCAAAGCTTTGTATAGTAGAGGTCAAGTAACTAAAATAGAGGCTGAACCAGCTAGCTGTTAATGGGTTTAGTTTTGGTATTAATCATCTCTTCATCACTGGAAGCTCTGAACAGATGCCAGATTTTCTGAGGCCAAGCAACTGAATGAAGCCCAATGTCAAAACTCTCCATACAATTTTTTATCTGTTCTTACCTCTGCAGCTGTAGTACATGGGCAACATGTATTTCTGTCTAATCTCATTTATTCAAGGTTTTCAAATACCTAGTCAAATACTCTTCAGCCATCAGTGCCTTCCTATAAAATAGATCTTGACAAAACTCGTAACAGGTGGACTCAGGTCACATACTACTTAGCAGGGTTTATCTGACACTTAATTTATCTGACTTTCACATGAAGTTAAGTAAGCCAGGGTAGAATTTCTATCATCTGATGGGATTTAAGTACAAAAAAATCCATGTAATGCAGAACAGCAAAGCTGATGTGAGTCTAAGCTCCACCAAAGTCATGGGCTGCTTTGCTTTAAGTTTCTAGTTCAGGTCCACTCCTAATTAAGTACTGGAAGAACTCTCTGTACAACAGAATGATGAAAATTTGTCCCTACCAGCCCAATGACATGGTCTGTGAGTTCCATTAGCATTTCTTTGCTACTTTCTTGTTGGCAATGGGACACATTCAGGGTAGGAGAAGAGTGGGCTTGATAAAGTGTTTGAGATAGGTTGTGAAAAAACAGAAATTAAGGCAAGGAGGTGTTTATTAGCTAATTTACATGCCCCTAGTTTATGGATGTGATATTAATGACAAGAGGTACTCTGAAGCACCCTTTGGGATACTCTTAGTCATCTTCCCCCACAGACTGGGGAGGGCAAAGAGATGGGCATCCTAGATTTGAGTCACACAGGGAAATCCATCTGATCTACAAGTCAGAGGTTCAAGTCTAAGCTAGTGACAAGGTTCTCCTTATACACACTGTCTTTGACACCTATTTTAGCATATGGTAACTACTGCTCCAGAGGGGTCCTTTTCTCCCCATTGACCAAGAGCTGGGACCTTAGACCTCTAACTAAAACACAGCTCACTGGACATGCAAAGTTTGGGTGGATCCCTTCCTGTAGTCAAAGACAGGGGACTAGGGCACAGTGGACCTGTCTTTCTGCAGCCACACATCACTCTACGACCAGCTCTCAGTAACCACACCTGAGTGTCAATATGCCATTTCTGAAGGCTCTCCTGGCCTTACATAGCACTATGTCTGTTCAGACACCACCTGTATTCACAATGAACTTCTCTTGGAAATGCAGTCCAAGGATAGGCTACCACACCCTGAATAAGGGTGATCTATGTGCCATGCCTCTAGACTTTATTCCCCAATCAGCCAGGTGGTTATATGTGCTTCCTAATTTCTGTTACTGTTTCTGGATTCCGTTCGACATCATTGCAACCGCCTCCTCTCCTGTGCCTAGTTCAACACTTAGCTCCCTTTATTTTATAGGCTCTCTATCCTGTGCACATTTCAGCCTAGTTCCCCAGCTGTATTTATAATAGATACTGGCCTCTTTCAAATATAACCATGTGAGGGTTGACCATTTCTCTTATTTTTGATATTTCCAGATCAAGTCCAGGGTAAAATCCTATATTTTAGGCCTCAAGAAGCGTCCATGGACAATATATGGAATATGCATGAGTGGCGTCCTTTCCACCATTTCTGTTACAATGGTGATCTCCACCATCATGTACTGGAAAAGTGTGAAAAGATCCAAGCTCCACCCGCAGGGCAAAATCCGCAAAATTATACGGGGACCTCCAAGACGCACAGTGTGCTGAGCTGGAAAGTGAACTGGCCATTCATTTGTCCTTAATATGCCATATGTAGCTTATGTCATTGCTGATTTCTTCTCTTTCTATAAACAAAGCTCTTTAGCTCCACTTATCTCCCCTACCTCAAAGAGTTTTGTTATGTCTGTAAAAGAGTACTTGAAAACAGAATGCAGCACATATCTGCTAACTACTCATTTGTACTGACGTTTTATAAGCAGAAGCTTTCTCCTAATCCTTTTCAATGCCATGCTCAGTAATTGAGCCAATTATTTTCTTTCTCCGTTCTTGCAAGTTAAACACTATGGTGACATGCAGGAATCTGCCCTAATTTGGTGGCAGTACTTCTGTAAGCTTTTGTGTTAAGTCATCTACCTCACAGTACTATAATGTTTACCCAGTCTCCAGCCCCATCTAAATTCTCCACCCCTGGACTGGACTGGCTGTGTGACTCTCATATTTTTTTTAGAGACAACTTCCGTCAATCAGCTCTACTTGTAACATATTTTGGACAAATGAAATTTCTGGGTCACTGTCTGTCCCCTGGAGTAAGTCATGTGTTTTCTTTGTACTCCTTTACAGACTCTTCACAAAGGGCCTATGGCCGCCTTTTTGATGCAAACTAAAGATAACCCCATGAAAGCCTTAGGAGTGCTAGCTGGTGTCATGGGCATAATGGTGCTGATAACTATCATGATCTCTACTGCCATGTTCTGGCGCAACAAGCGGTCCAACAAAGTCATGCCGGTGAGGAGGATCATAAAAAAGAGACAGGTGCCGCCATCCCGGACGGTCAGGATGGAGTGGCTGAAGTTCAAGAGGCCCAGCAACGCTGCAGAGAAGTTTGTAGTTGAGGAGGATGTGAAGAGCCTGCACAATGAGAACAGCAACAATAACGTGCAGGTTGTCCCTGTGCCACCGGCAGCCCCCGTGCCCCCGCCACCTCCGGCCCTGGCTCCCCGAGGCGACGGCCCAGGGTGGCGGGTGCCAACTGTGTCCGGCTCCCTCACTCCCAAGCACATCATCAAGCCACCGAAGAAGAAAGGTCACAGCAGCACCCACAACGCCCTCGTGTCAGAGCTCAAAATGAGGTTTGAGAAGAGGAACGCAGCTTTCGGGGAGCCCCACATCTAGGTGCTCTCAGCAGCCCCAAAGACTGCAGACTGTGGCTGGGAATGTTTTTACTTGCCGTCTCTTCCCTGTGTCTGTCAGCACCCTGTGAACCAGAGCAGCTTCTCGCTGTGATAGCCACCCCTCACCTTCTGCAAGCACCATCGTGACTGCTGTTCCCTTGGCCATGTCCCATGGGCCCTCCTGCAGCTGAGTCTGCCCACGGTGCTGAGTGTGCCAGCCACAGTCTCCCCAGGTGAACAGGGACTCAGACTGCCCCTGGTTTGGAGGTCTCTACCCAGAGCTTGGGTTTTCAAAGAAGATGCTCTGCAGCCAAGACCCTGGTGGATGCTTCTTCTGACCTGGTCTGGCAGGTGGATTTGAGGTGTCTGAAAATCCATCACTTCAAATCCCAGACCCATTTTTGAAGATGTGGCAGCAGCCCTGAGTCAGTTGCAGGTCTCCTACAGCAGTGGCACTGCTGTGTCCTGCGCACAGTGTGCTTTGCAGCAGCTGGCGGAGCGATGTGCTCCTGGCCTCAGTACCTTCATTCCCAGAAGGTAAGCAGGCAGGCTTGGAGAAGTTCTTCCTATTCCTGCAGCTTACTCTGGGTTTTGCCAGAGCACATTGACATGATGCTGTGCTTTGCTTCTGCCCTGGACTTGCCTGCTGGGGAGAGACAGGAGGGGCACCTCAGCCTTTCCTGGACCAGCAGGGCCAAGATTTGAGCATGGAAGTTCAACAGCAGCCCTCACTCGGCACTGCCTCCTTCTGACACTGTGCTCCAAAGGAGCAGGAGCCCAGCAGGAGAAGGACATGAATAAAAACACTGGGAAGACAAGGTAAAACTGAGAAGCAAATGATAAGTGGAAGACAGAGACAAGTGCTGTAAAGTTGCATATGTTGGTCAGGGAAGTGTCTGGAAAGATCATGTGGTGTTGTACACTGCTAGCAGAAGGTGTCAAGAAATATATTTCATCACCTCTCCTGACTTGTTGCTGGGACTGGTGTGTGCAAAAGGAGGTTTCCATAAAGTATTCAGGCTTTTCTTATCAGTATTTTTGAGTGAATTAAACAACATTTAATGGGAGGGGACTGGCAGAGCAGCTGACAGGTTTTTCTTTTCCTGTTATGTGACAGTAGAAAGGCAGCAAGAGCAAAGCACCTTCTTCACTGGATCTACCCCACAGACCCCCCTCAGGTTTGTTTCTGAGGAGATGTTTTTCAGCTGGGCCTGGCTGTTTCCCATCCCCTGGGGAGAAGGCAGCACCGACTGACCGAGCTGGCTGGGGAGCAGCACCCTGCACTGTGTCTCTGAGAGCCAGCCCTGCAGAGAAGCTGTGCTGTCATGGTACAGGAACATCAAGGTGGGGAGCACTCCGTGTTAATTCAAGGGGTTCATGAGAGTTCTCCAGCTGTCATTTCAGTTAACCAGCAGACCTGGCCCTCAGGATCTCCTCTCACTCCAGCAGCTGAAATAATTCCCCTTTTTGCACCAGGACTTCATCAGTTTAGGAGATAGCTGGTTGAATACGAAATTATGCACTTACAAGGAAAATCTTGTATTTTTTTAACTTCAGTTCAATCTGCCTAGAGGCCATAGTGCTCGTGGCTCACGTCCCCCGTGAGCTGAGCCAGCAGCTGTAGCCAAGAGATCCAGGAGAGTCCCAGCTGGGGGCCAAGGCAGGAGCGCTGCTCCCAGAGCCTCTCCTGTCACATCTCTCCTTTTCTCCACTGTTTTCTTGCTCATCCCTCCTCCTGGGGCACTGTGATGTGAGGCCAAGTTCTCACCTGTCCAATCGCCTCGTCCTTGTTCCCTGGCCATAAACTGGCCGGAGGGAGGGGACATGCAGCCCCTGACCCCCCTCCTGCTGCCCTGTGCAAGCACCTGCCTTCTGCTGGCTGGGTGTCTGCAGGTTCTGCAATGTTCCCCCAAGTCCCTGATTTATTCCCCATTCCACTGTCTTCCCAGTTTTGTGTTATTGCCAGTATTCAGTGTTCATTCTCTAATGAGGAAAGCCTATAAAGACCATTCAATTAAGTCAGATTTAACAGGAATTACAGGCTTATAGTCTTAGAGATTATATTTAAGAGGCAATAACTATGTTGTGACTAATTACTATGTTGTGAGACTATTTCCCAGTTACTCTGTATTTCAACTTGAAGAGTTTTTTTTAATAAAAAAAAAATTAAAATCTGCAAAAGATGCTTCTGTGCTTGGTGTGCTTCTGCTGGCAAGGATGCCTTGTGCTCACCTATTATATTACCAGACAGCCACAAGCAGCCAGACCACTTTTATGGTGACCAAATGGACCCTTCTGTGTGCTGTGAGTCAGGAGAAGGGCTGTGTGGTTTTTGGACACCACCAGGCTGGAAGGAGGGGAGGTGAAAAGCAGGATGCCATTGGCACAGGCCATGGGCAGGGTCACAGAGAGCCCAGGCTGAGTTCCTGTGGTACAGAGCACTGCAGCTGGTCCCAGGGGCAGGGGGCAGCAGGTTCAGCCTGTGCCAGTGCCCAGGGTCTGCAATTTGTTATGAACAAATCCACAGGTGAGGGGTTGTTTTGTCTTTCCTTGGCTGTTTCCTCAGTGATTCAGCAGCTCTCTCCAGTCTCTACAGTGTGCTGTTGTCCCTCCCTGCTGACTGGGGTGGAAGAAGGCCGGTCATTATTGACAGTGCTTTGTTATTTACTGCCCCTCACCCACAGCCCCACACTGGTCTCCAACCAGCATCAGCTCATGGCTCACTCTGTACTAGCTGTGTCTGTGGCTGGCTTTCCCAGCACAAGGTTTTCTTGCTTGGCCAGCTGCTGTTGCCCCTTCCTCACCAGTCCAGGGCCCTGTGACTTGTACTGCAGCTGCCTGGCCTCCTCCAGCCCTGCAGCAAAACCCCAGAGCTCCTTGGAATCAGGTTTCTTTGCAATTTGTAACTGTAAAAGGCCAGAGAAGAAGCAGAGGACCTCTGTGTATTCTGAAAACCGGTCATGTTTATTGCTTTGACACTAAAAGACTGACAAGATTAGGAAGTCCTGTGAAGTATTGACAACGAGTCAGCAATGACAAAACAGAGCTCTGTTCAAAGCTGTGCAGTACGGTACAGCAGGAGAAGGTGCTGGAAGGAGGGACAGTATGAAAACACACACCAAACACCAAAATACGATTAGAAAGCCAAGCTACCACAGCATGAAGCTCACAACAGCTGGAGTGTCTACTCTAGATTCTTCTTTTTGAGACGATCTATAACACATATTACAAGTGCTGTGGGTCTATGGGCCACATGCTTTGGTTTGCTGGAAAGCAAGAGGTCAAAAAAAGAAAAACAGTAAGTCACATGTCCTCAGACCTCTGAGAATCACAGCAGTGAGCTGCTTCACAAGCAGGAGGCAGTTGCTTTTACATGCATCTTTGGGCTATTTTGCCTCTAGCAAAGAGGCGAGCTTTGGTTTCAAAACAGCAGGATAGGCAGGCACCTGTCTGCATTTAGGGAATGTGCCTAGCTTGCATCTTCAGCTCCCAACCCCATCCTCCACTCTGTTCTCTGCCTCTGTCAACTTGTCCCACTAGCCTGGTTCAAGCACTTGCACTTTTCCTGTTTGTGGCACAACCAAAGCTGTGAATCTCTGAGCGCTGCGTAAACCTTAAGGAGGAGTAAGAAAAAAAAAAAACCCACCCCAAAACCAACACCTCTGGTCAAAATATTTTTTTTTCTCCAACTAAAATAAAATCTCTTCCTCGTGTTGACCCAATCCTCCCCACTGTTAGTTGTTGCTGGGCTGTGATGGCAGGCGTGCCCAGCTCCCCTGTGCGTTCCCAGGAGCTGGCACACAGGAGAGGCTGGCACCGGGCACCGGGCAGAGCTGCGGGCACACAGAAATGAAGACACACCTGTGTGGGTGAGGGAGGGACACTTCTGGCCTTTGGCCACAAGCACTACTATTGCTTCGGGGGTTCTTTTTGTTAGTGGTGGTTCTCTTGGCGTGTCAGTGTGCGCTGCTCCATGACAGTGCTGCAGGGACAGGCTACGGAGGCGCAGCTCCCCCCACCCCAGTGGCACCTCCATTCCCAGGGCCCCCCGAGCCTGCCGCAAGCACCGGCGGTGCGCCCGCCGTGCCCGAGCCCCGCAGCACGGAGCCGGCCCGGCGCTGTCCTTGGAGAAACCCAGCTCCGGCTGCGGGCGTGTGGAGGCGCCGCAGCGCGGCAGGGCCCGGCTAGTAGAGGTCGGCGCTGTTCCTGTGGGGCGGCCGGGCCTTGCCGGGCTCCGGGCGGTCCGCAGGCCGCCGTGCGCCGCCGTCGGGGCGGCAGAGCCCGTCCTCGCTGCCGGCGGGCAGGCTGTCCAGCGTGCTCTCCTTGCTGCCCGCGGCCTGCGCCGGGCCCCCGCGGCGGCGGCGCGGGCAGGCGCTGGGGCAGCGGGCCAGGCAGCCGGGCAGCGCCTCGGCCGTGCAGGCGTACATGCCGGCCGGCACGGCCAGCACCATGGCGCACACGATGACCACGATGTGGATGAGCTTCTCGCGCTGCTCCATCTGGCTGACGTCGCTGCCCGTGACGAAGACCACGCACTGGCCCTTGCGGGGAGCCTGGTTGCGCACGGCCACGCACACCTCGTACTTGGTGGCGGGCAGCAGGTCGGTCACCGAGTACGTGTTGACCCCGGGCCCGATGTAGATGGTGTCCTTCTGGGCGGCGTCGTAGCGGCCCACAAGGAGGGTGTACCAGGTCTCCCCCGGTTCCGCGGCCGCCGCGGCCGCCGCGAACCACTCCAGGGTGATGCCGTAGACCGTCTGCTTGGCGATGCGCACCTCGACGTGAGCGCCCGGCTCCGCGGGGGCCGCGGGCGCCCAGCCGCGGGGCGTGGTGCTCGCCCACGGGGCAACCACGCGGAGGTTGATGGCCACCGAGGCGTTGCCCAGGAAGTTGGCGGCTGTGCAGGTGTAATTCCCGGCATCTGCTGGCCGTGCGGCCGGGATCAGCAGCTCCGAGCGGACGGTGTCCTCGCTGATGGGCTCCGTGGACACTGCAGGCAGAGGTGAGTGGGTCAGCAGCGAGCCACCGTGCCCTTGGGCCCTAAGGCTGTGTGGGACGGGACCCGCCCGCCCAGGGACAGAGAGGGGCACAGGAATGTGCCAAACCCCACAGAGCTGACAGCAAAGTGTGTTGTCTGTCTGAAAGGCAATAAACGCATGGGGACAGCCAGGTGTAGGAGACATGGGGTGTGCCCGACGCCTGGCCCAGTGCAAGCGGCTGGAGGCGCTGCTGTGGGCAGAGGCAGAGCTGCCCATTGCCATCGGCGTTCTTAGGGCAAACCAGGAGAGCACTGAGGAGGCACACCTACATTTTGGACACATGCTTCGTCCTTTGTTAGGATTAAATTGTCCGTCTCAACAGGCTCAGACCAAAATAGGTGCATGAAGGTAGAAAGTGTTGGGCTGAAAGTGAAATGCAGTTTTAAGAACAGTGTGAAACCCTGTCATCTACCCAAACAGAGGTGTGTGGCTGTGGTTGAGAAGAAACTGTATGTAATTAATCAGCATGTGCTTGTGGAAAGACACACAAGTGCTGCTGCAGCACTGCAATTGAAGCAAATATCAGCCCAGGATTAAGGGCTAATGCTATCCTATTTAGTTAGCTGGCTTATTAGGGACACAGAACCTGTGTGCTGGCTGCCTGTATGTCTTACTTCACCTGATGAAAATAGCAACTTGTCCTATTGAGGGCTGTTAGTAAAAATAAACATGAGGGAGGATGGATTGGGAGGAAAAGGTCTCATTTTACAACACCTTTTCTAAAGAACATAAATAAGCAAGACTTCAGGTAAACACCAACCTCTGTTTCAGTTCATTCAGAACATGAATGGACATAGGAATCAGGGCTGCACAGTTTTGTGGTTTGTGTAGTATTTCTTGAGGGAATACATGGGAATAATGTAAGAACATACATCTGTGTATATGGGTGTGGGCTCATACAAACACATCTATGTGCACATACACATATACAGAATGTGTGCATATATATTTGTAGTATGTGACAGTAAATTATGTAGCATATAATATTTAGTAAATCTACATGCATATAATATTTAGTAAATATACATGCATATTTAAATAGCTAAATTTTTATTAAATATGTACAGTTAATATAAGATTGGTAGCTCCTGCAATCATGTACCATGAAGAAAGAGCTGCTTCTAAAATCCACAAGTATGATAATTGTATAAAAATGAGGCCATGTTCCTTTTATCTTTGACTGATATCCTGCCTGAAGCAGCTCTTCTTATGCTGGTCAGATGTGCCTAGATGCACAGGATGATTGAGATCATTTGGATTACAGCCACCACAATAACTGTGGTGCTCCAAAGGGGCTGGGTTGCTGTGGTGACTCTGATGGCCTGCAGACCTATGTAAGTAGAATCGTACAGCATAAATTTTTAATTTAAAAAAAAAAAAACAACTAAGAAGAAGGAAAAGCTTTGCTTACCATTAAATGCCCTTAAAAGTTTGAGTGCATAGGTCCACCAGACAGCCGGGGAAGGGCTGGCTTGCACAAAGCAGGTCAGGGTGATGTTTAACCCTGCTGGGACTGTCAGGTTGGTGTCGAGGGCTGAGGTCAGGGGCTTCGTGCAGCTGTTAAGCTCCACTTCATGAAAGAACTTCCCTGTCCTGAATTTTGGGCCTGAGCATGTTAAGTAGGAGTTCATCAGGATAATAGGTGGGCCCACAGACTTGATGAACTGGACAAACCCGCGCAGGCGGCAGTCGCAGATCCAGGGGTTGTCATGGAGGGCCAGCACGGCGTTGGAAATCGTTTCCAGCGGCCCCTCTGTGCTCTGGCTCCTCTGGTACACGGGCCAGTTGTAGAAGACATCCCTGGATATGATGGTAAGCTGATTGGAGGATAGGTCTAAGTAGGTCAGGTTGGGCAGATAGCGCAGCGCGTGTTCTGGAAGGACGTCCAGCCGGTTGTGCTTCAGGTCCAGGATCTTCAGAGTCGGGGTGTCCTGAAATGCTGTCCATGGCACCGAACTTAATTTGTTCCCTTGCAAGCGCAGCTCCTTCAGAGCTGGCAGATACTCCAGGCTCTTGATGTGCATCACTGTGAT